ATGGAGATGTACACACTGTGACAAGGGAGATGTACACACTGAGACAAGGGAGATGTACACACAGTGACAAGGGAGATGTACACACTGAGACAAGGGAGATGTACACACTGAGACAAGGGAGATGTACACACTGAGACAAGGGAGATGTACACACTGACAAGGGAGATGTACACACAGTGACAAGGGAGATGTACACACTGAGACAAGGGAGATGTACACACAGTGACAAGGGAGATGTACACACTGAGACAAGGGAGATGTACACACTGAGACAAGGGAGATGTACACACTGTGACAAGGGAGATGTACACACTGAGACAAGGGTGGAGGGGGCGATTGGAGGGGGGGGAGATGGAGGGGGGATATGGAGGGGGGGGGGATGGAGGGGGGGTGGAAGGAGGGGGATATGGAGGGATGGAGGGGGGGGGTAAGACTTGTCTCCCCACGTTGTTTCAACATCTGCGTCGTCGGACATGGAATCGAACCGGAGGCTTCGGGTCTCAAGTCCCGCCATGCCGCTGCTCACCGTGCCACCAACTGCCTTTCGCTTCTCACTTTAAAGAAGTCAACTTGTTCATCGGGTGTTGCTGCACACTTCTGTCGATACGGAAAACCCGGTTTAAACCGTTTTTCCGGGGTTTATTTTTTCCACGCGGTTACAGGCAACGCAGCAAGGATCCTCGATTTAACCGCCCGACTTTTTCGGACCTGAGTGCGTTTGCGTCAATTTGTGTTCTTGCAGCGCAGCCAAGGCAGCAGCAGCAGTAGCGTCTCAGCGTTGTTGGTCAAGAAAAGTGAATTTGTGTTTGAAGGCCCCACGGAGTGAGTGGCGTGCGTGGTGTGTGCGGTGCTTCTTCGAGCCACGCAATAATGTTTAATTATAGAGATGGAACAGTGCAGTCGTAAACCCTTCACGTCGCAAGCAACGACGTCAGGAAGTTTCGTCTCATCCACAGCGCTTGGAGGTCACAACAACTCACTCACTCAACTCACCCCATCGCTCAACTCACCCCATCGCTCAACTCACCCCATCGCTTAACTCACCCCATCACTCAAACTCACCCCATCACTCAAACTCACCCCATCACTCAACTCACCCATCACTCAACTCACCCTATCACTCAACTCACCCACTCACCCAATCACTCAATTCACCCAATCGCTCAAACTCACCCACTCACACCATCACTCGCCCACTCCCTCACTCATCCGCTTACTCACTCACTTAGCTCACTCACCTAATCAATCACCAACCCACCCACTCACTTAACTCACCCGCCCACTCACCCACCCACCCGCGTACTCACCCACCCAACTCGCTCACCCACCCACACTGCATGTCACCCACTTATTTTTTCGCTTCCCTCCCTCCACTGCTCCACTTTGTAAATTCACCTCCCAGCATCGTCGTTATCATCGTCATCGCCTCTTGCCCTCCCCCACCAAGCTCGACTCAGAACAACAACAACCTCGCTCGGGTTCCAGACACGTGTTGGTGATTTTATCCCTGACGGTGTTGATCATAGCGCTGTTTGTTGAGTTCCACGGGAGAGTGGTGGTGAGTGGTGCTTAGTTCCACGGGGAGAGTACTGGTGAGTTCCACGAAAGAGTGGTGGTGAGTTCCACGGGGAGAGTAGTGGTGAGTTCCACGGGAGAGTGGTGCTGAGTTCCACGGAGAGAGTACTGGTGAGTTCCATGGGGAGAGTGGTGGTGAGGTTGTGGTGAGTTCCACGAAAGAGTGGTGGTGAGTTCCACGGGGAGAGTAGTGGTGAGTGGTGGTGAGTTGTGGTGAGTTCCACGGGGAGAGTGGTGGTGAGTTCCACGGGGAGAGTGGTGAGTTGTGGTGAGTTCCACGGGGAGAGTGGTGGTGAGTTCCACGGGGAGAGTGGTGGTGAGTTGTGGTGAGTTCCACGGGGAGAGGGTGGTGAGTTCCACGGGGAGAGTGGGTGGTGAGTTGTGGTGAGTTCCACGTGGAGAGTGGTGGTGAGGTTTTCACGGGGAAGAGTGGGTCGCTAACCAGGCTCGCAGTGTCGATTAACAGGAACGCACAGGCTATGATGTTGATATCGATTTACATGGTTGCTTAAGTTTCATTTTCTTTAAGCGCACGTGTGTGCACAGGTGTGGGGAGACTCCATTCTGGTTGTGGTAGGTGCCTGTGTGCCTGTCTCTGCGGGTGGAGCGCAAGTGCAGTGGTTAGCGAGCTGCGCTACGAATCCGGCGAGTTCGATTCCCGCGAGTTCGATTCCCGCTCAGAGGCCACCCAGTGACGATTATCTGAACCGTCCTGGGCCTCCCCTAGGGGTCCACTCAGCCTCAAAATAAGTTCCCGGTGCGGGTGTGTAAACATCGCCAAAGGGCGGGCGGGTGGCGTGGTGCTGCCCCCCACCTGCCCCCCCCCTCCCCCCCACTTCCCCTCCTCACTCCCCCCCCACTCCCCCCCCACTCCCCCCCCCCCCACTCCCCCCCCCCACTCCCCCCCCCCACTCCCCCCCCGTGTGCCATCCCAGCGTCACGCGAAGTGTTCGCGTGTCGCTGTGCGCACGCCGTGGGCCGCGCTGTGACGCCACCGTCCTGTCGCGCCACTGCGTCAGCCCTGCGTGCCGCTGGCTGCGTGTGACATCACGATTCGTCTGTGCTCGTTTGGCAGCCCGCGACTCGAAGTCTCGCATGATGCGGGGTCGTGTGCTGGGTTGGTGGTGGTGGGGGGGTAGTTGTGCCCGGCTGTGCGGGAACAGCGGGACGGACGGCATTCCGCGGTCTCGCTGAGCCGCCGCTGCTGGGGTGTGGGTCTCGTTTTTATTTGATGGCAGGACGGATTGTTGGTTGAGAAGCAATGACGGGAAAGGTTCCCCAATTCCTCACCCGCCTCCCCCTCTACAAACCTCCCCCTCTACAACTCGCCTCCTCCCTCCTACTGGGACAGAGCACGCGCGTAGGTTTCGCAATAGGCGGTGAATGACGAAGTGAGTGGCTTGCGCATCGCCCACGCCGCGGTTATTCGAGTCACTTGGGCTCTGCATTTTGAGCCATCGCGCATCCTACGGTCAGCCCGCCGCCTGGCTTCACGGACGTGTTCAACTCTTTTTCTGCTTCTGCAATTGGGGATCGTGAATCTGTGCATCGTGTACGGCGACTGTGCGCGCACGGGCCCACACAGACGCATATCTCCCAGGTAGCCTGCAACAGACTGCTGGGGCAAGTGCTGCGAGCGAGGTAGCACCCATGCAGGCCACAAGGGTGGCGGCGGTGTGGCCGTTGTTGACTCATCGCACCCAGGCACTCGCTTCAAGGAGATCGAGAAGAGGCCTCGGACCGGTTCAGGTAGTCGCTACCGATGTTAACCCGTGGCCCGGAATCGAACTTGGATCATTTGATTTGTTTGATCGCAGTGCACGAACCACCGCACTGGGACAAGTGCTGCTAGTGAGCACCGGTGAAAGCCGACACGGCACACGAGGGGGTGGGGTGGCCAGCAACACACTCGGCCGCCTTTGTCTCTCTAGTGGCGATGTTTAGACGTCGCACCAGGTACTTATTTGAGGCTGAGTCGACCTAGCGGAGGCCCAGGACCGGTTCAGATAATCGTCACTGTTGTTGGCCGTGAGCGGGAATCGAACTCGGGTCGCCAGGTTCATAGCGCAGCGCATCGCTAACCGCGTGACACTACCGCTCCCCGCACACACACTGACACACACACTGACACACACACTGACACGCACACTGACATGCACACTGACACGCACACGTCCATGCCTCACATTCCAGCTCGCATACCACCATCTCTTACCTCGCCTCCCCAAGGGGACACTGGGGCTCCATTCCTGGAGCCCCAAGAATGGACGTGAGTTCTATGATCGAGCAGATAGGACGCATAGGGAAGGACGCGTCAGGTAGGACGCGTCAGGTGGGACGCGTCAAGTAGGACGCGTCAGGTAGGGCGCGTCAGGTAGGACGCGTCAGGTAGGACGCGTCAGGTAGGACGCGTCAGGTGGGACGCGTCAGGTAGGACGCGTCAGGTGGGACGCGTCAAGTAGGACGCGTCAGGTAGGGACGCGTCAGGTGGGACGCGTCAGGTGGGACGCGTCAGGTAGGACGCGTCAGGTAGGACGCGTCAGGTAGGACGCGTCAGGTAGGACGCGTCAGGTGGGACGCGTCAGGTGGGACGCGTCAGGTAGGACGCGTCAGGTGGGAACGCGTCAGGTAGGACGCGTCAGGTGGGACGCGTCAGGTGGGACGCGTCAGGTAGGACGCGTCAGGTAGGGCGCGTCAGGTAGGACGCGTCAGGTGGGACGCGTCAGGTAGGACGCGTCAGGTAGGACACGTCAGGTAGGACGCGTCAAGTGGGACGCGTCAGGTAGGACGCGTCAGGTAGGACGTGTCCTACTTGACGCGTCAGGTAGGACGCGTCAGGTAGGACGCGTCAGGTAGGACGCGTCAAGTAGGACGCGTCAAGTAGGACGTGTAAGGTATGATGTATCGTAACCTCCTGCAATGCGTGTCCATTTAACGCTCGCTTGCTCGGACGTCCCGTGGTTTCCTCTGCTCCGACTCTCGTGGCAAAGTGTGACCAAGTCGTTGGTGTTGACAGCGGCGACACTCGGGGGCGAGTCTGGGACATGGCGTGCGTGTGTGCGCGTGTGTGCGTGTGTGCGTGTGTGCGCGTGTGTGCGTGTGTGCGTGTGCGCGTGTGCGTGTGTGTGTGTCTTCACAGCGGTAGCGCGCTGTGCTACGAACCCGGCCACCCGAGTTAAATTCCCGCTCACGGCCAACACCGGTGACGATTATCTGAACCGGTCCTGGGCCTCCCCTAGGTCGACTCAACCTCAAATGAGTACCTGGTGCGATGTGTAAACATCACCACTTGGGAAACAAAGCGGGCCGGGCGTGGTGCTGGCCACCCACCCCATCGTGTGCCGTGCCGGCCTTCACAGATGCTCGCTAACATCACTTGCCCCAACAGTCGGTTAAGGCTACACGGGGGATCTTTGTCTTTACAGCCCGATCGGTGGATACGCAACTAAGTGGACCCCTCGGTGGACGCCCTGGCTGGAGAGATGAGGCCCTGCGAGTCGGAGGGATGCTCGCCGTGCGAGTGACGCCGGGTCTCGCCGAGAGGGGGGCCATGGTGTCGCATGCCCTGGGGCCAGAGGGCCCCCCACCCTGCCAGCCCTACAGCAGGTACGTCATCATCATCGTCATCACGATCAATCCACTGCTGGATGAAGGCCACCCCATGCTGCATCGCGAACCTTCGCGGCTCCGAGATTCCACGACCCAACCGGCGCCCGCACACACGAGCCCACGAGCCCACGAGCCCACGAGCCCACCCGATGTCCACCTCGTCAGGGCTGGCGCCGGGAGATGAGCGTATCCCCCGTGCTCAGCAGCACCGGGAGGCGACCGGACCGCTGCGAACGGCGCATGCGCGCCTGCGTTTACCCCGGCACGCGTGCCCGCAAGTAGAAGCGGAGCGACGAGTGCGCCCGTCACGCGGCCTCTGCGCTCGCTGCCCCCCCCCGCCCCCCCCCCCGCCCCCGCAGGTACCAGGCGCTGATGGGGTGCCAGGTGACCCCGCGCGACCCCGGGAGCCGGGACTTCGCGCGGCTCTCGTCGGCCGCACGATCCGCGGCAAAAACCACGTCCACCGTCGCCTGCCGAGCCCGCCGGACCGACGGCACGGAGGGAACGACGGGCGGCGGCGCGACGGCGACCGGCAGCCCAACGGGGCGCCACCCCCCGCCGGCCCGAAGGCGCTCGGCGTGCCGGGCGTGCCGTGGCCGCTCGGCGGCGTGGCGAGCGGGGACCGGAGGAGCAGGGAGCTTCCCGATGGCGGCAGCTCGGTAAGACCCCCTCACTGGTGCGCGCGGAGAGAAATGTCATCGTCGCAGCCGTCGTCATCATCATCTATCCGCTGCTGGATGAAGACCTCGCCAAAGGGATCGCTGCCACCCAGGGTGTTGCGCACTGTGCAACACCGTGAAAGCTTACCGGATTCCTCCAACACATAATAAATATTTCTATTCGGATGATCCTGGTGAGCCGTTTTTGGATTCCTGGCCACCCCTTGGTCGGCCCACAGTGGCCAGCAGAGCGAGGAGACATCGAAGGAACTCCGTGGTGGGAGCCAGGGGCGGTCCGTCCATATCGCCGAACTCGGCGGGCGCCTAGGGCGCCAAGTTAAGTGGGCCGTCAAATTCGAGGAAAAAAATACAAGTAAAATAATGTAGATGCCATTATTCATAATCCCACGCGTGTACAGAGGAATTTGAATTATAATCAATTTCTCAACATTTCTCAGAATGTGTTGGTTGGGCAGACAGATGGACGATCCGAATAATTATCCCTCTGTTTAAAAAATGACGCTCAAAAAACTTAAAGGGAAATTAGTCGCAAAATATTTCCCGGGCACCAGCTGCTGGCAGCAGCGAGTCGAGGGCCGCCCCTGTGGGGAGGCCTTCTTCCGAAGTAGCTCGGTCTGACTTGAGGCAGCTGGTCTCTCTGTGGGCTCTTCTTGCCTCGTCACGTGAAGCCAGCTTGTTGTTATTTGTCCTGATGCACCACTGCCATCGAAGTCGGGGAACGGCTCGTCCCGACGACAAGAGACGAGGGCCTTGGCTCGCATTCCAGCGTCGTTCCCAGCGATGCCACGCTGCTTGCCGTGCAGTCGACACGCCGTCCACCGCATCGCTGCTGTTGCTGTTTGACCCCCCTTGCTCCGATTCCTCTCACCCGGACAGGTGCCCCACGTGCCAGCCCCAGGGCCAGCCCCAGGGCCAGCCCCAGGGCTCGGCAGACGGCCCCTGGGTGGTGCGGGAGGAGAGGCTGCAGGAGGCGGCCACCATCATCCGTGCTGCCGTCCTCGCCTACCTCACCAGGTGCCCGCATCACCCCCCTGTCACCCCCCTGTCACCCCCCCTGTCACCCCCTGTCACCCCCTGTCACCCCCCTGTCACCCCCCACCCCCCCTGTCACCCCCTGTCACCCCCTGTCACCCCTCTGTCACCCCGCTGTCACCCCCCTGTCACCCCCCTGTCACCCCCTGTCACCCCCCTGTCACCCCCACCCCCCTGTCACCCCCTGTCACCCCCCTGTCACCCCCCTGTCACCCCCCTGTCACCCCCTGTCACCCCCCTGTCACCCCCTGTCACCCCCCTGTCACCCTCCTGTCACCCTCCTGTCACCCCTGTCACCCCCCTGTCACCCCCTGTCACCCCCTGTCACCCCCCCTGTCACCCCCCTGTCACCCCCTGTCACCCCCCTGTCACCCCCACCCCCCTGTCACCCCCTGTCACCCCCCTGTCACCCCCTGTCACCCCCGCGTCACTCCCACGACGGACATTCCGCGCTGTGGGCCGGATGGGCAGGAGGGAGCGCCTCGTCGCGATGCGTCCAGCCCGGTGGTCTGGCCGGGACAGCCCCCGTGTCCGTGCCGCATACGGTCACCGGCACCGACGGGACCGGCTGAAACGAAGCCCCAAATTGGCGCGCATTGTTCCGACCACCGGACGCGTCCCCACCAGATCCGGGCGCTAGCTTTGCCGTGCCCCCCCCCCCCCTCCACCCCCTGCTAGGCGCTGGTTCCTGCGGCTACGAGCGAGCGCCGTCCGCATCCAACGCCGGTTCCGCGCCGTGCGGCGCCGCCGTGAGCGCTCGCGCCTCCGTCCGGCGCCGGCGACCCCGCCGACCGGGGCCCGCCGGGCCCGTCCCGGTCGGCGCCGGCCACCCTCCCCCTCTTCCGCCGGCGGCACGCCGCGGCTCCCCGGACGCGACGGCGCCCGTGTGGGTGCACAGAGACGCCGCGGCGGCCGACGCGGCCGACGCGGACGACCGGCGTCGCCAGCGGCGAAGGGAACGTCGGACTCGCCGCCGCGACGGCGCTCGACGGGCAGAGCGTCGTCCTGGCGCCCTCCGCCCCGGCCGCTCGCCCCCAGCAGGGGGAGTTGGCGCCACCGCGTCCGCCTCGATCCGCCCACGGGCACGAAGGCGGCGGTGGCGGCGGCGACGCCGATGAAGACGACGCGGTGGTTCCTGAGCGAGGAGCTGCGGAGGCCCGGCTACACCCGCGTGTTCCTGCCGCGCCGCGCCGCCGCCGCCGCGGTCGCGGGCGGCCCGCCGGCGGCGGCGGCGGCGGCGGCGGCCCCGTCGCCGGACGCGCTGTCGTGCCGCAGCGACGACGAGTGGAGCTGGCGCCGCGGCGACTCGCTGGAGGGGGGCCACGGCGCGCGGGCCGACGCGGCTGTGTCGCTGCGCCGGGGCCGCCGCCTCCTGTCCCCCGACCGCGAGTTTCCGCTACTCGGTGGGCACCTACAACAGCTCCGTCTTCGGCTACGGCTCCACCGACATCCCCTCTGCGCTGGTGAGAGCCGGGTGGCGGCGGCTCCGGCGAAGAACACCGCTCTTGTCTGGCGCTCGGCGGGTCCTTGGCCGCCATCGTCTCTGCCCTCCTCTTGGGTCCTCTGCCCTCTTCTTCCTCCTCCTCATTTGGTCGTTTGCGGAATCCCTTTCCTCCTGCATCGTCGCTCTCCCTCGGAACCGATGTTCGGGAATACTGGAGGACCGGCTCATGATCATGAGGAACGATGAGGGAGAAGGAATGAAAAACGTAGAGCATGTGCAGAGGAGGGATGAAGAGGCTCGTCGCTCGCCCGGGAGGTAGGGGGGTTGTGTTTGTGGGGGGGCCGGTGGTAGAGACTAACGCCAGAGTGGCAGCCAGAGGAGGGAACGCACCGCGGAGGACGGAGCGATGGCGCCGGCTCGCGTGCAGGATGGATTGTCGCACCGTGAGTCCGCGAGAGACGGTGACCACCTCGGGGAGACGTTCCTACGGCCAATGCCGATTGGTTGGCGTACTGCGCCACGAACCTGGCGGGCCGAGGTCAATTCCCGCTCGCCAATATATCTGAACCGGTCTTGGGCCTCCCCCTCGGTCGAGTCGGTCTTCAACGAAGCATTCGGCGCGACGCGTACACGTCGGCACGGGGGGACCTGAGGCGGCGCGCCGTGCCTGCATTCGAACGTGCCCTTGCCCCGACGGTCCGTGAAGGCTGCACGGGGGATCTCTGTCTTTGCGTGCAGCTGTTCGAGGACTCGGACGGCGCCCCGGACGAGGACGAGATCCTGGCGTCGCGCCGCGGCTGCGTGACGAGCGGTGCCGCCGTGCGGCCCTACCACTCGAGCCACCTGAGCATGCGCGGTGAGCGGCGCAACCGCCCCACCACACCACCCGCCCCGCAACGCCCGCCACCACGCACACGGCAAAGGTCCCCCGTGTAGCCTCGACGGACCGTCGGGGCAAGTGCTGCCAGCGAGTAGCACCCACCCGCGAAGGCCGGCACGGCACATTAGGGGGTGGGCGGCCAGCACCACGCCCGGCCGCCTTTGTCTCCCAAGCGCCGATGTTTTTACGCAACGCACCAGGTGCTCATTTGAGGCCGAGTCGACCTAGGGGAGGCCCAGCACCGGTTGAAATAATCGTCACCGGTGTTGGCCGTGAGTGGGAATCAAACCCGGGTCGCCAGGTTCGGAGCGCAGCGCGCTAACCGCTACACCGCCGCTCCCCATAAGGCCGACATCAAACACACGCTCATCGGCACGTCTCTGCGTGCCACCCCGTGCCGCCCCGTGCCGCCCCGTGCCACCGTCTGGTCCCGCTGTGCCGTGCGCGCCGCGTGCAGGCGGGCCGATGGGGCTGTGGAAGCGGCGCTGGTGCGTCCTCCGCGGGGACACCTTCATGTGGTTCCGCACCAAGCAGGACTCGCTCAAGGCCGGCTGGCTGCTCAAGCTGCAGGGCGGCGGCGGCGGCGCCGCGAGGGCCCCCGGGGCTCGCGGCGCCGTCTGGAAGCGCCGCTGGTTCGTGCTGCGGCGCGACGCGCTGCTGTGCTACGACAGCGACTAGCAGCGCCGCCCGCGGGGCGTCCTGGAGATCCTCAAGGCCGAGTACGAGTGCAGATTCCTCGCCCTGTCTGTCTGTCAGTGAGGTCCGGGTGGGGGGGAGGGGGGGTACCTTCACTCACAGCGGCACGCCAGGACGCACGCCAGGATGCACGCGGGTGCATTGATGACGTGCGCCCAGCAGCCAACTGTGACGCTTGGCTGTGCGTGCGTGCGTGTGTGTGTGCGTGTGTGTGTGTGCGTGTGTGTGTGTGCGTGTGTGTGTGCGTGTGTGTGGTGTGTATGCGTGCGTACGTGTGTGTGTGCGTGTGTGTGTGTGTGTGCGTGCGTGCGTGTGTGTGCGTGCGTGTGTGTGTGTGTGTGCGTGTGTGTGCGTGTGTGCGCGCGCAGAGCCATCGTGGACAACCCGGAGAGCGAGAACGGAATCGACGTGGTGCTGCCGGAGCGCGTTTACCACCTCCGTGCCGACTCCCCCGAGGAGTCCAGGTGAGTGACCTCGGGGAAAAGTCCACGACATCGGAGAGTTGAGCCGGCACCGCCAAGGCGCTGGGTTGGAACCCAGGTCAACGCACTGCACCACGGACTCGTCAACACGAGTTCGATTCCCACTCGCGGCCAACACAAGTGGCGGACATCTGATCCGGTCCCAGGCCTCCCCGAGGTCGGCGTAGATGAATCGTGACAAGGCGGCCGGGCGCGGTGCTGGCTAAACCCACCCCCTTGAGCGCAGTGGCGGCCTTCATCGGCTGATAACAGCACTTGCTCCAACAGCCTGAAGACGCTGCACGAGAGATATTTGTCTCCGCACATGCGTGCCCTCGTTCACTCTCATCCTATATGTGCGTGTGTGCCCGTGTGCATGTGTACCCGTGTGTGTACCCGTGTGTGTGTGTGTACCCGTGTGTGTGTTTGTGCCCGTGTGTGTGTGTGTGTGTACCCGTGTGCGTGTGTGTGTACCCGTGTGTGTGTGTGTGTACCCGCGTGTGTGTTTGTGCCCGTGTGTGTGTGTACCCGTGTGTGTGTGTGTACCCGTGTGTGTGTACCCGTGTATGTGTGTGTACCCGTGTGTGTGTGTGTGTACCCGTGTGTGTGTGTGTACCCGTGTGTGTGTGTGTGTGTACCCGTGTGCGTGTGTACCCGTGTGCATGTGTACCCATGTGTGCGTGTGTACCCGTGTGTACCCGTGTGTGTGTGTGCGTGTGTACCCGTGTGTGCGTGTGTACCCGTGTGTGTGTGTGCGTGTACCCGTGTGTGTGTGTGTGTGTACCCCTGTGTGTGTGTACCCGCGTGTGTGTGTGCGTGTGTACCCGTGTGTGCGTGTGTACCCGTGTGTGTGTGTGCGTGTGTACCCGTGTGTGTGTGTGTGTGCGTGTGTACCTGTGTGTGGGCACAGTGAGTGGTTCAGCGTGCTGAGCCGCGTGCACTCGGCGTCGCTCGCCGAGCTGCGGGAGATGCGTGACGAGCTCGCCAACCCCGACAACGCCGTGGTGAGTGCTGCGGCACGTGCCGGCACGACGGCCTCGCGGCGCCGCGACAGTCGCGGCTCGCGCCCGGCGCGCGAGTGAAAGGAGACGCGGAGAGCTCCCCGATTCCTCTCCTCCCCGCTCACGCGGCTCCGCCGTCTTGGTCTCTCCAGGCCCAATCCTGTCCTGGGCCATCTCGACATCCATTCTGCAGTCCTTCACATCCTGGTTCACCTCTTCGAAGCGCTTCTTTCTAGACGGTCCTCCTGCTCGCTGCCCTGGTGCGTCACCCTTCGCCACCTTCTTCCCGTGCGGTTTCCCTCTCTTCTTCTTGTGACACGTCTCCATGGCCGTCTGAGCCGATGTTCTCGCGCCCCTAAACTTTCTGATCCGATCCCTTCCCACGACCCTGATCTGAGTTGTTGTTTTCCTGCTCCCAGGAAACGTTGGACGTGGGGATGATCGACGCGGTCTGCGCTTCAGAAAATCCAGAAAGGTGAAACCGCAAACACCACAAACACCACAAACACCACAAACACCACAAACACCATAAACACCATGAACACCTGTCGTCTCTTCCTGCTCAATCGGTCGTCCATGAGAAACCGGATTCGTTGCCTGCACTGTGCACAATTTTTGGGAGTCTGTCTACAATGGTCTGGCCAGCATTTACGCAATCTCACGCCAGGATTTCTTTGACTTGCCGCTTATGACAGTGGTGGTGGTGGGCGCATCTGCTGTGAGACGCGTGGATCCGACTTGACGTGGGTCGATGTCTCTAAGCCAGAGATTAAACCCCAGAAGGTTCTCCAGTGAGATCGGGGACGGGGGGAGCCTCTTTGTTTTATCGGTATTCACCCAAAATCTGTTGCCATTTCTCCACTCAAAGAGTATTGTGACCACCCCGTTTGTCTCCTCCGTGTCTCCTCCGTGTCTGCTGCGTGTCGCCGATGCCGGCGACCAGGGCTTGCCGATTCTCGGTGCTGAGCGGCGGGCGGATGCTGCGCTTCTCCGCGGAGTCGCCGCGGGAAGCGCTCGCCTGGATGTCGCTGCTGCAGCGCAGCAAGGGCGACGCGCGCGTGCAGGGCCAGGAGTTCGTCGTCAGAGGTGTGGGGGCGAACCGCCGACCTCTCGCTCGCTCGCTCGCACGCAGACAAAGACGAAGGTTCCCACCGCGTAGCCTCAACTCTCGCGGCTTTATTCCAGGCAGGTTGGAAACCTGGAAAATGTGTCATCACGGTGTGCCGCATGTGTCATCACGGTGTGCCGCATGTGTCATCACGGCGTGCCGCATGTGTCATCACGGTGTGCCGCATGTGTCATCACGGTGTGCCGCATGTGTCATCACGGTGTGCCGCATGTGTCATCACGGTGTGCCGCATGTGTCATCACGGTGTGCCGCATGTGTCATCACGGTGTGCCGCATGTGTCATCACGGTGTGCCGCATGTGTCATCACGGTGTGCCGCATGTGTCATCACGGTGTGCCGCATGTGTCATCACGGTGTGCCGTATGTATCATCGCGGTGTGCCGTATGTGTCATCACGGTGTGCCGCATGTGTCATCACGGTGTGCCGTATGTGTCATCGCGGTGTGCCGTATGTATCATCGCGGTGTGCCGTATGTGTCATCACGGCGTGCCGTATGTGTCATCACGGTGTGCTGTATGTATCATCACGGCATGACGTATGAGTCATCACGGCGTGCCGTATGCAGTAGGCCTCTCGCTGTGGCTGCTAGTCACGTGCCTACTCCAAGCATCCAACGACCCAAAAAGTATTCGCTGAAAAATGAATCCCCGAGTTGAGCATTGGGGCCAAGTTCTTTTAGCGAGCACCTATGAAGGCCGGCACGGCGCACAAAGGGGTCCTGTGGCTAGACCCACGCCCGGCCGCCTTTGTCTCCCCAGTGCCAATGCGTACACACATCGCACTGGGTGCATATTTATGGCCGAGTTGACTTAGGCGAGGTTCAGGACCGGTTCAGGTATCGCTCGCCTCAACAGACGCCGCTGCTCAGCGCGTGGCCGCTGGGCCCTCAGCGGGGCTCTCTCCACCCTCTCCGTGCCGCGTCTTCGTTTCCTCGTGGAGCGGCCTCAACTCGCACCCCCCCCTCCCTCGCCCCCCGCCCCTCCCCCTCGCCCCCCCCCTCCCCCGCCCGCGCAGGCTGGCTCTACATGGAGGTGGCCAACCCCAGCGAGAGACGGCGCTCGTCCCGCCGTCGCTCCATGCGTCTCCGCGGCGCTGCCGGCGTCGCCGCCGCCCCCGCCGGTAGCGCCGCGGCGCCCGCTCCCGGCGACGCCGCCGCCGCGCTCAAGCGGCGCTGGGTGGTGCTCACCGAGAGCTCGCTCGACGTCTACCGCACCTCGGAGCGCGGCGCCGCCAAGATCAGCTCGCTCCTCCTCACCGGGCAGTGCACCGTCACGCAGCCCAGCCTGCAGCAGGGCCAGCAGCAGAGGCAGCAGCAGCAGCAGCAGCAGCGGGCGCACGTGAGACAGCAGGATAGCGCAGGTGAAGATCCGCTGTCTTCTTCTGCAGTGGGGGGAGGGGGCGAAGAGGAATTTTCTTCGGATCGCTCGAGCACCTAAATAGCCGCTACTCGCAAACAGCACTTGCCCCATCAGTCTGTTAAAGGCCACGCGGGGGATCTTTGTCTTTGTCTGCACAGGCTACTGGCTGGTGAGCGTGCACGGCTCCAGCGTCGTCTACAGGCTCTACACGGGGCTGCTCACCGAGGCCTCGCGCTGGGCCGGGGCCATCCACACGGTGGTGTTGGCCAGGCCGCCCGGCACCACGCCGACCCTCCGGCTCCTACGGCACATCGAGGTGTGTCCGTGGGCCTTGCCTGGCACCAGAAAATAATATTCGGCAAGTTTCAAATTCACGACGGTGACGCGGCCTAGCGAGCGGTAGCGCGTTCACTGCTCATGGCAGAGGCTCGCGGTTCTAATCCAGAAACTGCCCTGGTTATTACTATGCATGTAACAACCTTACTAATACGACTACTACCACACGCCGGGCACTTCACTCACAATGGACGTTAAAGATCCCGTGACGCCATCAACAAGAGTGAGCCATCGCATCCCCACGTCAGCTATCCCAAGTAAAAATATTACACTGCCGATTACTCGGCTGAGATTAAAAACCGCATCGGCAATCATCGCCCTCTACTGCCGGACTAATGCCCCAGGTCACTCTCGCAAACGAGACTTTGTCCTGGTCTCTTTTGAGTTCTCAACTGGTTCGACAAAATCAACTCATTCGCCAGCCAGGGGGGACTCTGGTGCAGCGACACCGCTTGAGAAGCCGGCGTCCCCTCACCGAGGCGCCGGCGGTATCTCCGTTTGTCGGTGCGGTGCAGGCGGTGAGCGGGGACGCCGTGGCGGTGGAGCAGACGTACGCACGGAACCCCATCCTGCGCCACTCGCGGCATGCGCTGCGCTCGCCGCTCTTGCCGCTGCCGCACGGCGACTCGGGCCTACGGAGTGAGGGCTCGTGGCACGCGGACACACACGCGGAGACAGACACACGCGGTGACAGACAGACGCGGTGACAGACAGACGCAGGGACACACACAGAGACACACAGATGTACATGCACGGAGATGCATGGGGACTCGGCTACGGAGTGAGGCTGTTTGAGCAAGTACACGCACACAAAGAGATACAAACATCCACTGTAAAACAAGACTCCCCCACGTGGTCCACTCACACTGTATTTGTCACCGTACGAACATGCACCCTGCTTGTGTAAATGTAATTGTCTGTGTGCACGTCACGGCACGTTTGCTGCGCTGGCTGCAGTCTGCTCGGCGATCGGCGCCCCGCGGCTCCCCGGTCAGCGCGAGGTTCCCCCTCGAGGCGTAATCCACGCGAGGGAGTTTAACGATCAAAGACGATCTTGTCTCCCGCGGTGACCGCAGGGCCCGGAGGGTCGGGCCCGGACTCGATCCAGGACGCCGCGGTGCACATGTTCAACATCGTGCGGGGCCTGGGCGCGCTGGACGACCCCCTGCCGGCGTACCAGGCCGTGCTGCGGGCCTGCCTGGCGCAGCGGCCCCTGCAGGACGAGGTCTACTGCCAGCTCGTGAAGCAGACGGCGCTGGGCGGGCGCGAGGCCGCCGCCGGCGCCGCGACGGGGGAGCTGCGCCGGTGCTGGGAGCTGCTCGCCTGCGCGAGCTGCTCGATTCGGCCCAGCCCGCCCGTCCTGCGATATGTGCGCTTCCACCTCAAGCGGTGAGAGTGCAGCGAAACAGCCTAGGAGGCCCGGCACCCACGAGGCCGAAAGCCACGATGCCTAAAGGCCCTTTTACGTCAATGCTAGTACAAGGCCCTTCGAGGCCGGATCCTCTCGGCCAGCGGTTTCCAACCTTTGTGGTCCTCGATTTTTTGAGCGCACCACCGTGCACCGAGAAGATATTGTTCACAGCGAACACTCCGAACACGCTCTCCAAGCGCCCCCCCGTCCGTTACAGACAGACGGGGACAGGTGTACGGCTGGACGGACCACGGGCCAGAGGCAATGCACAAGCGCTGTCGAGCGTTCCTTTTTACCCTGGGTTAATTGCATTCACAAGCATGCACTTCCCTCGTTTTGTTCCAAAAAGACACAGACCCCCCCGCCCCCACCCCGTGTCTCGGTCGCGCGTTCGCAGGGCGCGGGACCGGCACGGCGACGCCGCCGTCGCGCGCTGCGCCGGCTTCGCGCTCGACGCGCTGCGACGCACGCGGGGACGCGACTGCGCCGCCCCGTCGCGGGAGGAGCTGCACGCCGTGGCCGCCGGCGCGGAGATGAGCGTCACCGTGCACTGCCAGGGCGGCGGGCGGTGCCGCGTCTCCGTCACCAGCCACACCACGGCCGCCGAGGTCAGAGACGCGGACGCGGAACGCGCGCCCGGCGCCGCTTTTGGGGCGAGGGTCGGTGGATCGCGCGGAGATCCGTCTGCGGGATCCCCCTTCCCAGACTCGCTGGGCTCGAGGCGGCAGGAGGGTTGCAGGACAGCAAGTGGGGTCCGTGCACCCGCCTGCACGGACCTCCTTGGGGTTTTCTCGTGGAAGCTCCCCCGATTTGCTCGCGCACAGAATGCGTCCGAAAAAGGGATTGGGCAAACACCCCAGTGCAGGCTGCCCTGGATAAATGAATCATTTGATTGTACATAGCATCTAAATGTAACTCCATCTCTCAGACACATTCGGGGAAAAGGTGAATTGGGAAGGGAGGAGGGACACGGGGGAGGAGAGAGAGAGGGGGAGGGCAGCACCACAGCTCGGCTGCGCTGTGACGCAGCCGAGCACGGGGGGACGAAGCGACCGAGGCCCAGCGAGTCCCAGGGCTACGAGTTTGGCAAAGAGGTCACAGTGGTCACTGGAATCATTCATTGAAATGGACTCCACGAAATTGTGGACTTGGCTGGAAAAACGCATTGAATTGAGCGCTTCCTTCCTTCCTTTCAAAAAAAGCCTCGCGGTCTGTCGGGGTGGGGGTGGGGTCGAGGGGAAATTTCCGCACCTCGTTCCGAGACCTCTCCACGGATCGTCGTTTCTCTCCCGCACTTCGGCCGTGAATGCGACAAAAAATTCCCGCGATGAAATCGCAGCCTTCCCAATCGCTCGCGAGTCCTAGGGGCGGCCCAGGCGACGACGAGGCGGGCGGTTGGGGGCGGGTGGGCGGGCGGGCGGCTTGAGGCGCTGTCCGTGCCGGCGTGGCGCCGCGTGCAGGTGGTGGAGAAGCTGCTGAGCGGCCTCGCCATGGAGGACACGCGCAACGTGTTCGCGCTGTTCGCGCAGCGCGGGCCGGACGAGGGGCGTGCCATCGAGGGACACACGCTGGTGGCCGACGTGCTCGCCTCTTTCGAGAGGTCAGGCGGCACCCGCACCCGCTTTTGCGTCGTCGTCGTAATCACGGTGGTCGCGGAGGGAGTCTGTATACATTTTAAACGTGATTGACAGTCCGTGCATCTCCGTGTGCCTAGCTCTCTCCGTCGTCTGTGCTTGCGTGTGATGTGATTGTTATCGATAATGGTGGTTCAGTGGAGGTTGGTTATGCGGGGTCGCCCATGCGGTGGCTGTATTTGTCGAGGCTACGTACTGGTTGCACGCGTGGTGGTTGGGTCGTTGGACGTTGCCTCCGTGGCGGCCACCGGGGTGCGTAACCGGCGCTGGCATCCCCACAGCACCGGCGGCAGTCCACCCGGTAGCGGCGGTGCCGATGGGAGCAATGGGGGCGAGGAGGTGGTGCCGTGGCGTCTGTGCTTCCGCATCTACTGCTTCCTGGACCCCGACCGCGTGGCTCCCGACAGCGTCGAGTTCGTCTTTATGTTCGAGCACGTGAGACGTGCACTCACACGCACACACGCACTTGCACGCACGGACCCGTGTGCGCACACTCGCACATGCACACAAAGGACAAAGATCCCTCATAGCCTGTAACAGACTGTTGGGGCAAGTGCTGTTAGCAAGCACCTATAAAGGCCGACACGGCACACGATTGGGTGGGTGGCCAGCACCACGCCCGGTGCCTTTATCTCCTTAGTGGCGATATTTACAGGCCGCACCAGGTACTCATTTGAGGCCGAGTCGTGCGCACACTCGCACACAGACACGCACACACACACGCGCACGCTCGTACAGACGCAATCCCACGGTTCACGCCACTGGGGGGCACGGAGAATGGGGGGGGGGGGGGGGTTCCGTCTGATCACAGAGCTGGTGTGGGGGTGTAATCCACTTCCACGCCTACAACGTAGGACTCGGTGAGGTTTTTTTGAGAGCTCGTGAGAGCTAACCTGGGATGGCTGCTGTCGACTGTAGGCACCTTGCGGGATGCCCTGCTTGAGGTACGCCTGCGTAGCCAGACGGTGTTATCAAACAGCGTTTGCTTAAGGAAACACTCGGCCGGCTTCGGCATTCTGAGCCTCGTCAGCAAAATGTAGTTTTTGTAACAGGCCTGACTGCTGTTGAGAGCCAGAATGTCAAAACCAGTCCAGTTTGCTAACTTATTCGAATGCTACTGAATAATAATTGTCTGGCTATCAGACTCTAATCACTGCACCTGATATGAGTTAAATGATGATGTCACCCTGCTGCTCTATATTAAACCAGGAGCAAGCGAGGCCTTTACCATTCTGGCGAATTGCCCGATGATGCTGGATGTATTTACTAGCGAAACGTCGTACTCAAACTGTAAATGTTGTGGATTCACTCTTCAACACACCGGTGGGCTAAAGTAGTGAATTATTTGTCTTTTGTCAACGTGACACTTTTTTTGCTGATTGGTCGTGTCGGGTGGTGGAGGGTTACGACACATTTATAAATAATGCGATCTAACCCAAAAACCTTTATTATGAATAATATTGGTCGCGAAAGCCTACGTGTTAAACTATAAGACAACACGTTGATGGAGTAGCAAAAAATGCTGGTGTGCTGCGTGTCCCTCTCGCGCGCGAGTCCTAGGGCAGAACACATTTTAAAACATTTATTCAGGCAAATTTGGACCGAGATGCGTTCCGATGGCAGCAAACGTCGCTGTTGTTGTCGTTGCGCCGCCCAGGCGCACGAGAGCGCGGTGCGGGGCTCGCTGCCGTTGCGCGACGCCGCGCTCTGGCAGCTGGCGGCGCTGCGCCTGCAGTACGAGCACGGCGACCTGCAGGCGGGGCCGCGGGGGGCCCTGCCGGACGCGCTCCACCCGGCCAACGTGCACGCCGTGTACCCCGTGGGACGACTCGGGGCCCGCCTGGCCGCGCAGCGCCAGTGGGCCGCGCGCGCCGAGGAGGCGAGCGCCGGTAAGGGCGGCGGCGCCGACGCCAATTGCCGCGGCACCGGCAGCACGAGGGCGCTCCTCTCGTCGTTACCGCGGTGACCACCGTTTGAGAGTCAATGGCCGCCCCTTCCCACCGTGGTCCCGTGGCAAGGTGGCCACGGCGGTAGAGTGAGAGTCGCTCGCCTTCGGAAAATTGCGAGTTCATAAACACTGGTAGGGGTTGACTCGGCCGTCATCTCTCCAGCTCAATAAATGAGTACCACTTTGTGAAAAAGTAAACAGTGGTTATTTTATAGACTTACCCCATCATAAGAATGTGGAATTTCAACTAACGGCCCATGGCTGTAAACAATGCCACTATGCTAATTTGAATAGGAAATCACTTAACGTTTTATTCTACACAGATGACATCACGAGATATTTTTACCAGTTGATTTTAGTCTCATGTTCTGGATCGCTCTTCGCACCGACTCACCAGACAGCACTGAAATGGAGTGGCAACTTCAGGAATGAAGTGTCCGTAGCCCCAGCAGCTGCACACAGTCTGAGATAGCCAGGTGGCTCAGAGTTCAAGGTGCTGAGCTGGCACCACTGAGATCTTGGCTTTGAACCCAGATTTCGGCCGCCCGTGATTAAATCTGGTGAAGTGCAGCGAGTTGACGGGCTCAGCCCGGTCACAATTGACTGCACAAACAGAATTTGCAATGCTTGCTCGTGGCTAGAGCTGCTACCATGCTGGCGTCTCTCTCTGCAAACTCGCCGTGTGGCGTCACCCGCTGCGACATATCCCCCTCCCCCAGGAGCCGATGCCTCCTCGCAAGGGCCGGGCTCCTCCGTAGCCTCCTCGGCCTCCTCGCTGGTGTCGGGAGAGCGCCGACCGCAGGGCCTCCTAGGAAGCGCCGTGCGCCGCTCATTGCTCCGCTCCTTGCTCCGTCGATCCAAGCCTCCCGATGCCGGCTCGTGCCCGGATGGATCCATGTGCGTGCACCACACGTGCGGCGCAACCGTTGTCCCGTCTAGCGACGTGTCCTGCTGAAGTCCAGCGCGTCACGTGCAACCACGCCGTATTGAACAACGCTGCGCTGAACCGCAAGCAGCCCACATTCCCACCATTTCACACTCCACCGCGCCACACTCAGCCATACCACGCCCAAACTTTCAATGTTGATTTCATCCTTCAGTTGGTGTTATCGCTGGCCTACAAGTCATGGTCAACGCAATTGAAATCGCCATAAAAATACTACATCTCACAGCTTTTGCACATTCCAATGTCATCGTCAGTTCAAAACTTGTCCTCTCACTGACTGACCGGTCTTCATCATCGCGAGAACTTCGCTGAAAAAGCAACTTGTCGGCACAACTGACCGGTCATCATCAAGTCTTTTAATTCAAAAACACGTTTCCATAAATGACGCATCATCATCATTGCCTTCGATGCGAACTCAAGAAGCTCGTTGTCTCAACGACCGTCCGATCGTTGCCACCACCGCCACAAGACTGCCCGCGCACCCTCGTATGCAGACGCTCACGTCGCCTTGCCTCTTGCTCGCCCACAGCTGTGGGGAGGACAGCAGAACCTCGTCGTTCAGCGGGGTCGTGGGGCCGCGCGGACCCGGTGGCGAGGAGCTGGCGGCGCTCCCCGAGGCGCTGGCGGCGGCGCGCGCCGGCATCGCGAGCGCGTGGCTGCGCCTGCAGGGCGTGGGGCAGGAGCAGGCCATGGTGCGGTACATGGCGCTCGTGCGCGAGTGGCCCGGTTACGGCTCCACGCTCTTCGATGTCGAGGCGAGTCGCGTGGCGTCGAGCAGCGTCGAGCGACGCAAACGATTTGCGCGTTGGGGTGAATTAAACAAACGTGACAAAAGTGCGCAAGGAAGCGTGGACGGGTACACGCTTGGAATTGCACGGTCAAGAATAGTCAGAGACGTCATTCCAAACGTTAAGCAAAGTGGGCTTGAGTAGGGCGTGTTGCTGGAAGGGAATGTTGTTTGGTGGCTCGGTGTATGGAGGAGCTACGCTCCACGCTCGATAGCTTCCCAAGTGTAGCTATCAAGTGTGCAGGCAGTGCAACTGCACCGGGGCCCGCGGGCCACTATGCCGCTGCTACGACTGTCTCAGTTTTCTGAGATGCATTGAAGTCGCGATGTAACTCCACGTCGCGGCGCGTCGTCACGTTACCCGTGCGTGCATCGCGTCCTCTTGTCTTGCAGTGCGTTGAGGGCGGGTTCCCGCGCGAGCTGTGGCTGGGCGTGGGCGCACGTGCGCTCAGCGTGTACTGCCGCGGAGACGCCGTGCCCATCGAGACCATCCCGTACGAGCACGTGTTGGCGTTCGGTTCTCCCGAGGCCGGCGTGTACCGCGTGGCCACGCGCAGCCGCACGCTTGCCTTCCGCACCGCGCAGGTGAGGGCGGCACCGTCAGGCCAGGCCGCGCCGGAAAAAAAACATTCGCGCATCGCTCGCCAGAGGCCCGCCCAGGTGGGGAACCAAAGGGGCAGTTGACCTCTGCCCATCAAAATGTTGTGGCTGCTTATGTAATTGATAGCATTTATTCACCCAGGAAATTGAGTTAGAAAGCAAAGGTGAAGCCCTGCAATTGCCTGCTCACGCCACTGCTGGCAGAAGGGCCTCTACGAGGAGCTCTAGACGGCCCCCTAGAGCAGTGCTTCTAAGCTTGTGGTATGTGGATCCGTTGCAGAAAGGTCATTTTACAAAACACCATTTCTTGATGGCACGCCTGCCGCGACCACTGGTCTCGGAGGGTATTTTACCTGACCCTTCCACGCCAGAGACCGTTTGAGATTTTTCATTAATGTAACCCAAAAATGGGTGCAGCCTATAACCTGTTTGTGCGTGGTGGTCCCCCATCCAATTGCTATGTAGGTTCAAAAACATGGTTAGCGTGTGAGCTCTGTAACCAAACCAGCAGGGATTACAAAATACACAACCAAAATAAAATCTCCCTCTTGGCCAAGTATCTAGGAGGCGCATGCCACGCATCCTAAATGTTAACGTTAAGGTCAGGTGAACCACAGCACCGGAGAAAAGTCACTGCACAGTCACTCTTGTCGTATGTACTTAGCTGTGCAGGTGACATTAAGGGCTTGGTTGCTGAAGGGCGACAGATAGTCACCAGAAAATGCCGCACACACAAATGCGTCAACCGAGCGTTCGTCTCGCCGCTGCAGGTGGTGGAGATCGCCAAGCTCATGAAGGTGTACGTGGCGCGCCTGGTGCGGCGGCACCACGTGCAGCGCTCGCTGTGCAGCAGCCAGGGCAGCTGGAGCAGCGCCTGCCCCTGAGGGCGTCGGGATTTGAGCACGGGATGAAGCGTCATCTCCCCAACGTAACTATGAAGAGCTGCGATCACGGTCGACCGATCCACCAAAATCGCTCAACATTTCTTTGTGGTCGATTACTCGGGCCATAAAAAACGTCAAAGGAATCTTGGTGCATCTCCTACGAAGAAGAACGCCCGAAGAGCCACGGTCAGCATGACGCAGTTGTGCCATTGACGTCACAAAGACCCTCCCAGGACCTCCAATCCAGCGGCACGTGTGAGGACAGAGACGACTCCCCCTACCCCCAGCTGTTTCCATGCGACCGGACTTTGCCTGCTTGGCACATGGGTGATGTTTTTATTCCATGTCTGCCCAACCTAAGAGCAGCACTTAACCGTGGTGCCTTATTTCCAACGTCAGGGCATTGTGTTTTTGAATGGGACGCAAGGAATGAAAGGAAATGGAATTGATGAGTTTTAAATTGAAATCAAACATAAGGCAATTGCAGCACGTGAAGCGACGCCAATCAACTTCCAAGTTGTTGCAAGATGTTTGCATCTTACAATTGACAAGTGGTTTACAACAAAGCATTATCTAAAGGTCCCATTTCGGTGGCCCACATGTACCTCCCCGGTGTCACTGCGTGGGAGTGTCACGTTACTGTTGAACAAAAACATGTTATTTTCACGGGCACGACTGCCAACATCGCTGACGTGAAATAATCCTCTGACATTACAGAGGGGGCGAGCCCATCACGCCCTCGTCGCTGATCAAAACAAAAACCGGCCGGGGAACTTTAGCGTCAAGTCTCAACAAGCACAAGAGGTCTCGTGGGTTTGGAACGGCTCCAAGCCCCACCACACGCTGTGGCACGGACACAGACCTCGCACCGCACTCAATGCAGACACTCGGCAATGTTTCATCGCCGAGTTGCGACCCCTGCTGGTTTTATCACCGCCGTTTTTTTAACGCTCCACAAACGACCACGTCTCGTTCCATGCAACCACAAATCTGAACTCAATAACGTGGTGAGCTCGCTGCACAAAGTATTAAGGACGAACGTTACCCGCGCTCGTCTCGCGATCTGCAGTCCCGAGTCGTCACCTCACCTGGCTGTGTCGAGTTGTGGCCCCCACACTTTCCCATCAACGTTCGCCGTTTGCGCGCTTAGAAAAATCCCCAAACGACGCATCGAACTTGTACAGAGCGTAGGCGGCGACTGCTACATCAAGGTGCTCGCCTTTGCAGTGTTAAAGCCATCGTGTTAAAGTGGTGTGCAGTAAATCCAGGGTTTAAAACAAAGCACTTGGCATTGTTCATAAAGTTCATTCATGAACGAGTTGAGCTGTATTGAACAGCCTCAAGTTGAGACATTTTTCCAGTAGACGAGAGGGGGTAAGCAATATTGTTCTTACCAAGGGTCAAATAGGGCTTTCAATGTCTCCGACATGCCACGTATTTAATACACCTTCCCTTTACCCAAGAACGTGAAAAATTATTAATGCTGAACTTCATCACACGAATGCGCTGCCTGTTTTCCCGTTAGATCGGTTCTGAAGCAGACATGGGTAGCGTCCTTGCAGTGACATAACTCACATGGGCCATTTCAAAGTGGCAGGCCTCATACAATAAAGCTGCCGGCCTAATAGTGCAAGGGCAGTGGATACCTGGCTACAGAGCACAATCAAAATGCATTACACGTCCAGGTGTAACCTGGGACGTTTACTTACGTTTTAGATTCCGAAGGAAATATTGGGACGTCAAGGTCTATAAATGGATTTTTTTCAAACTGGAATATACTCGTTGAAAATTGGTGAAAGCCACGCGATGTTAAAATCCCATACACCGGGGAATGTAAATAGTGTAAATACATTTGCATTGAAGACTATGAAAAACTGTTCATTGAAAACTTGAGTGCCTATGAATGGTACCGATTTGTAAATGTTATCAGCAGGGAATTGGGGGTGTTCCCATACTATTGGTGCAGAAAACGACGGTGGTAATGATTTGTGACTGACACGGGGTATGTACTGAGTTGCGCATTGATTATATTCCACTAAAGTTGTTGGTGATTGGTTTTTGGGAACACTGCAACCACTAAATTTGAACAAGCACCGCAAAGGCAATAAATGAATCAAGGACAGAACATCCCATACATGACTAAAGCCAAGTTTAACACAATGTGTAAAACGTTTGATATTTTTCCAAGCACCAAGGATTTTTTACATGCATATTGTGCTCAGTTGTGGCTTACCATTTAAATACACAAAGGTTGCCGAGAGGTTGGTGGATTTTGCACGTTAACTTTATTAAACAAAACTATAAAATCTAAACGTGTTGGTTTGTGATGTTTGAAATACTTGTTCATTACCAATGTCCTCAACACTTAATACAACTCTGCAGTACAACTTGAGATGCCTTGCACCAGCTCACCCAAGTGGCACCATGTGAATGAACGCAGCATCACTGGTCACCAAGTGGGCATTAGCAATGTGAGGGGGGGGGTGGGTGGCAGCAATGTTGCTTTGCCATTTCCCAATTCGCGAGCAATGATGCAGAAATGAAGAGCACACTGCGCAGAACAAAAAACGCACAGGCACTGATGCTGGTTCATATACACTTTATTGTGATCTCCCTGGTGTACTAGGATGGTGGTGCGAGTAGTGTGGGAAGGGTCCCTCACTGGTCCTTGAGCTCACGCAGGCGGCGGATGGCAGACCTCACTGTGACAGCCGAGGTCGTGCTGGAGGAGGAACGGGCAGTTACACACATTAGGTGACATCGTAATAAACGTTTCTAAACCTTTATCCTAATAATACACACCTTGGTTATTTTCAAAATAATTACCTTTGAAAATATTACAGAAAACGATAAGGAATGGTAAAAGCATCTTAGGCTTTGGCTCAACATAGCGTGCAAGACGTACTTGTAGGTCCATGCACCTCCTGCCACGGTCTTCATGCACGAGCCGCAGTGCCAGATGCCCACCGCCCTCCTCTTCATCTTGGTCTGGATTTCACAAGGACAACACGAGCACCACAGGTACACTGAGCGGAAATCACCGGTCAAGGCACAGTTAACAAGCGTGAGCACAACACGTGTGCGTGTACTAAGACACGAGGACCACAATTTGTTAAGGACAACACGAGGGCAATTTATGGGAATTGTGGATGGAAATCTTCACTGGTAGTGCATTTATCATGAGCAACCACGGCAAATTGGTAGGGCAGAGGAAGCGATGGGAGTTGTGTCTAGCAAATGAGAATTTCTAGAAGAGTGTTTAATGAACAGTGATCGGTGTACACAAGCGACAAAACCCTGGGTTAGTCACGTGTAACGTCTGAAATTAAAATTGAAAGAAGCCATATCCCATTTACCCAGACAGAAACAGCCACTGCCACTCCTTGGGGTAACGACGTTTAACTTTTTATCGGTCCTTTAAAGTCTTGCTTTATTAGCCGATGACCTGTTATTGTAGTCGGTTTAAGGATCGAGGCAGTCGTATCTGAGACTGCTTTTTCTGCCCTGCAACTGCAAGGAGAGTAGTCCAGGCCCAATTTTATTCGCAAAAAAAAACCTGTTGAGGCAACCATTGCCGGTGACGACCACCACCCAATTGCAATCTTGACCTTTGCAGGCTGGCACTCACAACTTGACCCAACCAGCGCGAGCCACCGGATAACGCCCAGACGTGCCCCTATTGCCACGTGGGTTGGCGCCCCTCACCTTGCCACAGAAGGAGCACGTGTACTTGGCGTGCTGGCTGATCTCGATTTTCTTCACCATCTTACGCAGGGACGCGCCGTACCGCGTGCCATACTTGCCCACAATGCCAACCTTCTTCGTGCGCTTTGCCTAGCGGAGAAAGAGAGCAGAAGGCAAAGACCACACAAAACGTTATTTTGCCTGGACACGCAGGGTCTTCTATCCACCCAGATGCTTCGCACCAAGGTCACATTACGACAGACTTCCCAAACAAAACAATATTCAAGTTTATATTTTACTCACCCTTTAAGAACAATTGCCACCCATAAGTCTACAATTACCTATGGCACGCTTTCAGCACAAAGAGGTTGGGCAAAATCGAATAGGTCGCAGTAGACAAAGGCTAAAGGATAGTTTTTTGACGAAACACACCACCATAACAGTTTACGTACAACAGTAAACATTAAGGTCTGGTGGCGTGGAATACCCTACACATCGGCAATTTACTGCATTGCAGATTAAACATTCAGTTTAACACGTAGGCTTTCGCGGCCAATATCATCAATAGTAGAGTTTTTTGGGTTAGATCGCGTAAATATATAAAAGTGTCGATAAAACCCGCCACAGCCAACTAGTAAGGGTTGTCACGTAAACTGAACATGCCAATTCGTTACTAGTACAGCACTAGTGTATTGTATAGTGTAGTATACTAGTACAGCACCAGTGTGTAGTGTATTGTGTAGTATACTAGTACAGCACATCGGTGTTGGAGAGCCAAGCCACAACATTTACAATCCGAGTACGTTTCGCCAGTAATTACACCTAGCTTCATCAGGCGACAGCCATATTTGTGCTGTACTAGGAACGAATCGGCATGTTCTGTTTACGTGACAAACCTTACTAATCGGCCGGTGGCGGGTTTAACGACACATTTGCATATTTACGTGATCTAATCCAAGAAGACCTGTACGGAGATGAAACATTGTCAACACTCGGGAACTTATTGAAATCCGCACAAAAACGTTAAATATATTATTCAAATTCCTGGTCTCGTGTGTTGAGCCATGCGCACATAAAACCAATCGAGAACCCAGCGAGGAATATTTTTGAAGGGAAACCTGCGGCAACTCTCCAAGCAGGTTTAGGACGCCTACACTCCTCAGGTCAATCCACTGCTGGATGAGGGAATGACCGCGCCAACACGCACGTCTGGTGCTGCTGCTACTCTCCCACACCAAGTTGGAAGGTGTCGAGGCATCACAAGCACCGTACAAGGGTAGTACTACTGCACCGATCCCCAACCGAGTCCCGCGGCCTATATGATGCTTATGGCGTTTTCTGTCCACAGCTGCTGGACACGCGGTTTCTTAAGACGCCATCACTTGCGGTGCAACCTGCAGCCAATCCGGCTACTTGCGTGAGCTCAGTGGCGGGTTGAATACATGCTCGTCCAACCGACGAAATAGATCGACACGGTGGCGGCGGTCTAAGCCACACTCGCAACCCAACGTAGGCGTCTGTCACCATCAATGGTATCGCCGCGCAACACAAACAGGCGAGTCGCAAGGTCGTTAAAAAGAGGCGGACTGCTTTCATCTAACAGTGGATAGACCACGGCGAAAACAACGCACATATAAAACTCGCACCAATGAATAACGCTGCGCGGAACGTAATCTGTAACTAAACAGCGTGTAATTATAACGAGTATAACTATTTATCAACGCGTCCACTGCACCACAGGCGAGGCCTCAACAAGTTGACGTTCAATGGCCGCGAAGCCAGGGGGCCTGCCGCCCTCGAATCTAAGCCAACACCGAAGTCGCTAAAACCAGGACACTCCGACAATAAATAGCTGCACACAGTCGCGAAGCAAGGCGGCGGCGACATTCCGAGCACGCGAGTTCCCGCGAGGAGAGCTCCATGGCCGAGGATGAACGCGGATCGCGAAGCCTCGGATGACCGCGGACGTAGAAACCCACCATGGCGGGCGGCTGTGGCGGAAAGAAGGGAGTCCTCACTGCGCATGCGCGACTAGGGGCTCCTACCCCGTGACGTCATCACGCGAGCACGACCCCTGGTGTATCGCAAGATGACGTCATCACGCGAAGCAATATTATTCACGTGTCGAAGTCATCTCGCGAGCTCAAACGTGATGACCTCATCAAAGTGTGCTCCAGCTCCAACGTAACAAATATTTTTGAGATTCCGCGTTCGCAGTGGTGCACAAACAACAATAAAACGCGGCACATTCGTCAATAACATGGAGACCTAAAAAAATATAATAGGCGACGTTTCGAGCAAAGGCCCTTCTTCACAGCACACAGAGGTAGGCCAGAGAGGCAGCAGCAACGTAGTGAGATGACATCATCGCGGTTTAGAAACCCCAGCGCGTGCGCACCGAAGCCAAGCGTTCGCGCGAAGCGATTGGTCTGTGGTCGCACCACGTGCCCCCGATCGCCGTGCTGGATTGGCCAGCGGGGCCGGCTGGCGCCATGTGCAGTAGGGATTTGTGCTCGCGGACTCGTGCGGCTGCGACTCGGCCCCAGTGGCGCTGCGTCACCACCTCAAGCGTCGCGCTCCCATCGCTCCCTCTCCCATCTCTCCCTTCTCTCCCATCGCTCCCTCTCCCATCTCTCCCTTCTCTCCCTCTCCCATCACTCCCATCTCTCTCTCCCATCTCTCTCTAATCTATCTCCCATCTCTCGCGCTCCCATCGCTCTCCCATCACTCCCTCTCTCTCCCATCTGTCTCGATCGAGTGGACTCCACTCTGTGGCTCTCCTATCCGCCAAGCTGAGCAGCGCTCGGGAGGTCGTGGGGACGACGGCTTAGAGAAGCCGCAGCAGCAGCTGGGGGTGGTGGTGGTGGTGGTGAACGTCTCCTGCACAGGCGCCTCGTGGAGTGAAGAGGAGCCGGTGAGGGATGGGTTGGAGTGGGGGTAACGTGGTGAGGAATGGGGGGGGGGGGTAACGTGGTGAGGAATGGGGGGGGGGGGGGGGGGTAACGTGGTGAGGAATGGGGGGGGGGTAACGTGGTGAGGGATGGGGGGGGGTTAACGTGGTGAGGAATGGGGGGGGGGGTGTAACATGGTGAGGAATGGGGGGGGGTGTAACATGGTGAGGAATGGGGGGGGGTTAACGGGTGAGGAATGGGGGGGGGGTGTAACGTGGTGAGGGATGGGGGGGGGTGTAACGGGTGAGTCCGTGAAGGAGGCCTGGCACAGCAGGGGTCTATAACAGTGGAGTAATGGGGTCGAGAGAAGACGGCTGCTATATAGGGGACACCGCAGAGTGGTGGTTCAGGCCTGGTAGACCACCAGGTGCCGGGGGGGGAGTCGACCACGTCCGTAGGGCTCCATTCCACGTGGCTCCTCGCTGGAGGATAGACCAGGAAGGAGGCGGTGCAGGCGAGGGGGTTTGGGAGACTCTCGTCGTAGTTGGTGGCTGTAAAGTCTCGGGTCCACTTGGTCTGTGATAGCCCAAGAGTCCTTCTAGAGGAGACCTTACCCCTCGGGCTAGAGCAGGCAAAGTAGAGAGGGCCGTCTCCTGGAGGAGAATCCCTCAACTGGTCGTGTAAAGTTTATCGTGATGGGTATCGGCTTGGCGGAGCAGTGCGGGCGGGGGTGTAAAATAAAGAACCTGCACATAAACTCTGTTACCATAGTGAAAATGTCACTTTTATCATTTGGAAGCCTTGCCGAGTCTTCAAACTTTTTTTTTAATTTCCCCAGGAGAGTTAATTCCTCGGGATGTTTGGCCGAATTCCACGACGACTTGTTCTCTCGCTCGAAGTTGAGCAACTTTAGTGGGTTCAGGAGTCGTCACGGCCTCTCACGGGGCTTGGGGTTATTGCTGTTGTCGATGTCCAGGGGTGTCGCCGTGACTCGCTGCCCTCTTGCACCTTTCCGCTGTTTAATGCGATCGGTATTTCCCCTGTTTAACGCGATCGGTATTTCCCCGCGACATAAGATGGGATTGACGTTTGCCAGCGATTGGCACTTTTATGCCATGGACATTTGCTTGCGATTCATCTGCGTTCTGATTGACATTCAGCTGTGATTGACAAACTTACGATTGATGTTCAGCTGTTATGGACGTTCTGGTGTGATGGATATTTGCCTATGATTGACATTCTCGTATGATTGATAGTCTCCTCTGAATGACCTGATTTACATCCCGCTATTATTCGTTCTTCCTTACAAATGTTTTTAATCCTTCCCAAAATGTCATCCTTACTGTGTCATTGGCATCAAAAGTATCCATTCGAATTCATTCCAGTGCAGTGTAATGTTTAAATTTAGTTGTGTTGTCTTTTTTAAACCTTGTCTGCAATCACTCCCTGAGTTATTTCAAATATCCTTTGCTTCAGCGCCTTGATGTACTGAGAGCAGTTTAATTAACGATGATGTAAACCTTCATTTTTCGCGAGAGTGGATACCACAGAACAGGTGGGTGCAGTCACTTTGCCATTACTAACATAGCCGTGCCGTTGACGCTGTCTGTGGGCCGAAGGCGCAGAACCCGCCGTCCCAAGTGCCACGCCGCCATGTCTGCCTTCACGTGCATGTCCTGCCGCGTGGCCTTCGCCTGCGCCGACCTGCAGCGCGCCCACTACAAGACGGACTGGCACCGCTACAACCTCAAGCGCAAGGTGGCGCAGATGGCGCCCGTGACGGCCGAGAGCTTCGCGGAGCGCGTGCTGGCGCAGCGAGCCGCGGCGCAGGTTCCCGGCGCCGTCGTGCATCAGCCGTGCGCCACGTGCGGCAAGGGCTTCGCCTCGCACAACGCGTACGACAACCACCTGCGCTCGCACCGCCACTTGCAGGCCGAGGCGCGGCAACGCGACGCGGCGCAGGCTGCCCACGACGAGGTACGGCGTGTGCACAAGCGAAGGATGCTTTGGGCGAGTCGCCCCTCGCGGGTGCCGTCCGGCTGCCGTGGCGATCACGGCAGCGAGATCTTAACCTATGTGCCTGGTATGCAGGTCGTGGGTTCCATCCCGACCCTGATGCCTGCTGTATATTTGGAGTCTGCGTGCCTCTCTCCCCGTGGTTGCGTGGATTTTTCTCCGGGTCCTCCCGTTTTTCCCTCCACATTTAGAAACAGGCGTTTCGAGTATTTGGCCGTGATACATTTCCACATGATAAGCCACTTCTTTGAGCTGTCATTTGTGGCCAGGTAGCTTCTGAAAAAGAGCTATATAGCTCAATCGGCCTTACCTGGTAAAAGAAAAATAGTTTATAGTTTTTAAAATTATAGATAAATCCAAGATTCACACTATTTCCAGATTCTTAACTCAACAACGATCCCTCCCCACTTCACATTAATTCATGTTTTTTACAACAGCTGTTTGTTGGATCGTGTTACATTTTATTTTTTTACCCATAATACAACCTGAATGTCATGCCAATGTCCGACCGTTAAACATATAATTCAAATCTTGCAGAGTAGTGCGACGCTTCGTCTTTGAGAATAATCAATTGAACCGGATATCACACAACTACCATCGAAGGGATTATTTCCATCGTTCTGATTTAAATGACCGCACCGAGGTGTTGTTCCAGCACTTAGAAAATCTTGCGCGTGCCTGCCTGTGCAGGTAGAGCGCATGAACAAGAAGAACGTCGAGAAGGGCCTGGAGATACAGCCGCTCAGCAAAGACGAGATGAACGCCGCCATCCAGCAGGCCGTGTTCAAGGCCTCGCCGCACAAATCCCCGAGCCTGGCCCGTCGGAGCGACCCTGCCAAGGAAGCCGACGGCACGGCAGGGGCGCAGGCCCCATCCCGGCCACCGCGGCCACCGCGCCTAATGTGGCTGGAGCAGCGCGAGGCACAGGAGCGCAGCAAGGATGGCAAGGTGCCGACAACGGCGCAGGCCGGGCAGGAGACGGCAGGCAACGGTGAGACGTCGCTCGCTTATCATGTGGAAATGTATCACGGCGCACTACGTTGTAAAGGACACGGTCGGAGCTGCGTTGTCCGATTATCACGGCGGCATGGTGGCGAGATGTTAACTACCTCGTCTGGTTAACTACCTTACTGCTACATGGAGCAGTGGATAGAGCATGCTGTGCACAAATTGGAAGGTTGCGAGTTAATATCCCAGTCGGGCTTCAATGAGCAAGTCATCTCTGGGGCCGATAAAATGAGTACCGGCTTTGTCAGACATCACCCGTGGTCGTCGTGGAAATGACCTCGCTCCCGCCGTAGGAACGCGGCATTCCCACCACCGACGCGGTGCGGTAAGCGGGAGGCGAGCGCTCCCCTCCCGACTCCCCACTGAGCGGGACACTACTTTAACCTTTTGTTCGTTACATCTCACCCCGCTACAGATGAGTGGGAAGACCTGGGCACCGACAAAGATGACGACGATGATGACTGGGAAGAAGAAGAAGACGACGAGGACGAGGGCGCAGTTGACATGGAGTTGGGAGCGACGACGGAGGGTGCGGAGGGCGCCGTGTTGTCGGCCGACGGGCAGCCGGCCATGGCGGGGACGCTGCCGCACAACGGCTGCTTCTTCTGCCCGCAGCGCTCGCGCACGCTCGCACGCAGCCTGGCGCACATGTCCCGCGAGCACGGCTTCTTCATCCCCGACGTGCAGTACCTGGTCGACCTTCCGGGGCTCATGCGTTACCTCGGTGGGTCCTGCTCCCGGCGCGAGCAGCCTGGCGGCACTGTCTGTGCGAGTGCCGCGTGTGCCGCGGGTGCCGCGGGTGCCGCGCGTCTTCAGAAGACGAGCCAGCAGTTGCTGGAAGACAACAAAATTCATAAATCGGCAACAAAAATAAACATGCGGCCAGTTGTCACAAAACGCTTAATCTTTTTTTTCTCCTTTACATTTTACTGCCTGTCACCAAATAATCAGCAATGTGACTGACCTTTTCAACTAAGCAGGTATAAGTCTGGATAGTGCTTGAATGGGTGACCACCATCCACAAAGGACAGGTCTACTGTGTGGTGTGGGCAGTGCAGCAAATCCATTACACTACTGTACCACTATATATGTTTCCTACCTACAACGTGCACCAACTAACGTGGTGCAGTATAGTGAGGCAACCTCCCATGCCACGGGGGGAGGCATGGGAGGTTGCCTCACTAATAAATGTACATCGCTTTTGGATTGACAAAAGCGATGTACATTTATTAGTCCACAAACGTGTATTCGTAGACCGACAATGCTTCTGTTGCTGTGGTGCTGTGCCTCTGTTGCTGGTGCCGTTGCTGGTGCTGCTGCAGGGGAGAAGGTTGGCGCGGGCAACGTGTGCCTGTGGTGCAACGAGAAGGGCCGCTCGTTCTACTCGCTGGACGCCGTGCGGAAGCACATGCGCGACAAGGGCCACTGCAAGCTCTTCACGGACGGCGACGCCGCCCTCGAGTTCGCAGATTTCTACGACTTTCGGTAAACGGGCCGCCTCTGTCAAAAACCCATTTCTTTAAAACTGCTTTTTGTGTTTAGTTTGTCCTTCCCCTGCACCTCCTATTCGCGCGGTTGGCTACGTACAGTGCGAAAGAAATTCAACATGCATACGAGAGGGTGCCTCGCATGGACGAAAGTTGCTCGAACACCTTCCCGTGTCCACGAGGCTCCCTCGCATTCGCCACCTGACGTTACCGCCGTCGGGAGGCTGCGTCACATTGACGGGCTGTGCGACAGCGATCTGTTTTTGATCAGAGGGCAAATACACTGGGGTGCCTTTCGGAGAGCTTTAAACGTGCTAAGCGACTTTAATCACGTCCCGAAAATTTTGAAAGGGCACCCCAAGTGGCAGCTTTCCTTGTGCGGCACAAGGTATACTCGGCAACATAGCCTGCAATCGCGCATCGGTCTTGCTGGTAGCGGGCGACGGTTGCTGCCGCTGCTGCGACTGCTGTTGCGACTGCTGTTGCGCGTGATTCCGATCACGTGATCTGAGGGTGATGTTTGGGGTTGCGATCGTTTGTCCAGGCCGAGCTACATGGAGTTCCGGGTGGGAGGGCGCGACGTGGACGGTGAGGACGAGGAGGACGACGAGGAGGACAGCAGGCTGGGGGAGAAGCAGCTCGTGGAGTACGATGAGACCACCATGGAGCTGCAGCTGCCCTCAGGTACGATTACTGCTACTGCCACTACTACCACTACGCCTGTTTAACTAGGATAGCCTCACTGTGGAATCCCAAGACTCTTCAATAGGGTCCTGCCAAGTGTTCGCAGTAGGTGGGGGCGATGTGCTGCTGTGTGTAATCCCATTTGGAGTAATTTGCAGGTAATTTTTTTAGCATTGGAATGTTTGGCATATACCTGTTGAGATTTATATATATTTATCCATGTTGGGAAACTGGGAAATCATACGCAGAACAAGGAGAATTCACAAACCTCACGGAGAAAGGCGCCCAATTCAGGAATCGTACCCACTCGCGTCGTCGTTGTCGCATCCCAAGTGCTACCATCAGGTCTTCGAGCTCTGGTTCAGCAAAGACATGAGTTACCAGGTTGTCGTTTCGTCGCCCGCCTTTCATCTTTAGTCAAACATCTACTGCCCCCGGTCCCCCCTTGCCCACGCAGGAGTGAAGGTGGGCCACCGCTCCCTTCTGGTGTACTACCGCCAGCGGTTTGCACCGGGGCAGGCCGTGGTGGTGCACAGGAGCGGCCGTCTGCTGGGCCGCGTCATGCAGCAGTACCGCGCGCTCGGATGGAACGGCAACGCCGGTACGGATGGGGGGGGGGGGGGAGGGCTGGAAAATGTTAATAATGGCCATAGCACGATTGGGATTTTTTTTTTAAACTCGGGTAAATTCCATTAACCCCGCTATCTTCCATCGCTTATGATCTCCCGCAGGCGGGGAGGCTGCAATGCGGCGCCAGCGAGACATGCGCTTCCTGCAGCGCCACAAGGCCAAGTGGGCGATGAAGATGGGCATGCGCGGCAACATGCTGCAGCACCACTTCCGCTCGCAAGTGCCGATCTGATGAACGGAGCTCGGACGGCGGCGGAGGACAATGATGGAGGTCGCGAGGCCACGGGTCACAGAGTTTGGTTGATTGGTCGAATCCGATACTGTGTTGTGCAGTTGGGAAGTAGGGTTGTCATGATATAATTTTCCACAATACGATACTGTTATCAAATCTCATGATTTGACGATTATCGCGATATCATTTGCCATAAACATTGTAATTCAACTTCGCAGTTTTATTTTTTGTGCTTTGCAGCAAGTCTAGTAGGAATAAAGAATAATTTAAAGACATGAAACTGAATTTCACTGAACATAAGCCTTTTCTGAATCAACTTTAGGATCAACAATGCTTATAAAGCACACGCTGACACTTCAGAAGTCACTGGGGTTTTTTTTGCTCTATTTACAGCCTTGAGTCAGTGGTGGAAATTCCACATTCATCTAGCGGGAGTGAGTCTATCCATAGGACAACTACCGTTGACTTTCCGAAAGTGTTACCAATTTGACCAATACCAGTGGCATAATGGGTTGAGTCAACCCCCAACCAGGATTTGAACTCGCTGCGTTCCAATCCACAAGCCGCGCTCGCTCAACCACTGAGCCACCTGCAAAGTTGCGCACCGAATAATCACGTGGACTGAGCTTTTGTTGATGCCACATCACCAATGACTCCGCAAGGCATGTTTTCAAAGCACTCGTTTAATAAATAGTTATTCACAAAAGAAAACAAGGAAGATTAAACCGACAGGATAATCCCGATACAACGGCACGTTTAGAAACAGCCATCGGGTTGTAATTACGACAAGGATAATCGTAATTATAGTATCGTCCGGTTGTGGCCAAGCATGTTGGAAATTCGTGGGTTCCTTGTGTCGGTGACATCGTGCGGTGGGAGATGAGCGAGTGTGTAGCACAGCCAAGTACCACCACGGCCGTGATACTCGGCTCCGTGTGAACACAGTTCGTGTACCGGCGATCTATTACTATTAAAATCTTTGCACAAATTCCCTGTGCTGAGGATTTCCATGAGCGGAGTTTGAGCCGTGGCTGAGTCCTCCATGCGTCTTGGGAAGCAACCGAGCGGCTTAAGCCTGAGCTGAGCCGCTTTCGAGGCCGAGCCAGAGCAGCCTTGACTAAGAGTACGGCCGTGGAGGTTTTCACATCTTCAGTCATGCCTTTTTTCAACTCCACGTCACTGTAGCCAGCCGCTTAATTCTGTGAAATGGGTCCGTTGTTTTGGTAACAATGTGGGAATGATTGGGGCATATGATGGTAGTCCTTACTACGTGCAGTGTCTTTTACAGATGTCACTAGACAGCAGCAGACAAACGTGTGTGACCGACAAACAAAAGCCACAGGACGGCATCGTCGCCTAGACTGGATCAGCTGTGAAGGGGTTAATGGGAAAATGTACCTCTTACACCCGGCAGTGACGGCAGGATTAGAGGGTCACACCTGGTCTTATGGAGTCGGTCGCAATGCAGCCCGGGGTAGTTTCACATGAACTCTCCGTGGAAAAGGCTTTTATCTTGGTCACGGCTCAATGTGCAAGTGCCAGGTCCCTGTACTGGTTGAATGATGGCAACACTGTTACACGCGAGTACTTGCAGCCACTGGCAGATGGGAGTTGGAGATTCACGGCAAAAGTGCATGGCGGAGAAACGCTCAACACGCGGCCCAACCCGGAAAACCGCACTCGAGCTGGGCATGTGGCCGTGCTGCTGCCAGATGGGAGGAAGTAATTAACTAAAATCACGAATAATACAAAAATATATACATTAACATGATGAATGGATAAAATTCAAACATTTAATGCTTCAACACACCACTGCAAATATACAAATAAACACAAACGGCAACCTGTACAAAACAAACGCATTTAAAACTTAGGCTTTCAACTTTTTTGTTATACTTTGTTACTATTTCTGAAACCAGTCTTCGATCTTCCTTTTCTTGTTGGGGCTCTCCGACGTGCTGGCTGTCGCCGTGCCATCGGTTGCCGTGCGGGCCCCGTCCTTGGCGTGGTCGTCCAGGGCGGCAGCCAAGGCGGCGTCGTCGGGCTCGTCCCCGCACACCCACAGCAGCTCCATGATCGACTGCTGCTTGGGGTCCTTGAAGGAGAACGTCAAGGCGGGGTCAGCACCCGGGCCATTGGTCACGTGCAACTTGGTTGCATGCAATTGAAATGCTTACTTGTGGACGTCCGGTCGCAGAGACGTCCGCCGAGTTTCGGGCAACACCGATTTAATTTGACCGGTTTTCTATTCGGGTTAAGTCCCCGATAGCAACGCAACTTTACACGAAAGATGAATTCATACTGGATCATCTTCGCCAGCGTTAACGAGTACTTAACACCGCGTGGGTGGGTGGTGGCGGCGGCAGCGGCACCTTCACAGAGTAGGCTGTGGACTGCGCGTTCTTGAAGCTGTCGCCACAGAGCCCGGCCTCGCCCAATATCCGCAGCTTCTCCTGCACCATCGGCCTTCACGCGCACATGGACACACGGACCTCCAATTAGCACGGTTGTCTAGGTACGGTGTGAAAGAAGTTAAACATTCATAGATACACGGACGACGCCGTAAAACGCCGAGGCTCGCCGTTTACGTGCACAGCCCTTGTGTCAATCCACTGCTGGATGAAGACCTCCCCACAAACATTTAAAATCCACTGAACCCTGGTCATGCCTATAGAGCCATAATGTAGATATAAAACCTTTATACACTGAAGTCTATTTTTGAAAGGTGGTGCTCCGAGGGAGGGAGATGGTGAGCTACGGAGGGTGGCTGGGGGCGCGTGGTGCCCACCACAGGTAGTCGTCGGAGGTTCCGCGTGCCACCAAGTAGTGCACGTTGACGCAGCACAGCTGCCCGATGCGGTGCACGCGGTCCTCCGCTTGGATCAACACCTGCAGCGCATTAGAGACAACCCACAATCATCCAGCGATCCAACCAACCACAGAGCCGCAGACACGTGTGCCGTCGTCATCGCCGCCGCAGCCGCCCTCGCCCACGTGATCCACCTACCCCGGGGTTCCAGAAGAGCTCGGAAAACACGACGAGGTCGGCGGCGGAGAGCGTGATGCCCATGTTGGCGGCCGTGATGGAGAGCACGGCCACCTTGATGGCGTCGTCGCGCTGGAAGCGTTCGCACAGCGCTTGCCGCTCGGCCGAGGAGGTGCTGCCGTCGATGCGAATGTGGCCCACGCCCTGGCGCACGGAGGAGCGGGAGGGGCGACGGCGCACGATCGGAAACAAAGATGCGCATATACGCGAGCGTGCGGGGACCGTCCGCGGACACGGCGGCCTCCAGGTCAGGAATAGCGCAGGAGCGCCATCGGCGCGGAGATCAAGAGCCGGGCCTTCATAGAGGCGGTTCAGAACGGTGGGCTGGGACGTGGCCCAGAACAGGAAGCAGCGGAGGGAAAAAAGTGCCAGGAAACCACCCACAGAAGTGGGAAGAAAATCTCGGAAAAATAATGAATTGAAGTAGAATAAGCGTTAAACGTCGACCGAGCTCTGGGGTGGCGCGGCTACCTTCTTGCCGAGGTGTGCGGAGAGCGCGTCGAGCACCACGCGGTGGTGAGCAAACACCAGGAACTTGGCTCGCCCGCTCTCCAGCAGATCGCTCACGTACTCCCTGACGCCGTGACGACGGTGGGGGGGGGGGGGGGGAAAAGAGTGGAGGTCCATCCCTGCAATTGCCTGCTCACACCCTCTGCTGGCAAACCTCTACAGAGTCCCTCTCAAAATTATTTGGCCTACTCTTCCACGCTGACCAGACGTCGCGGAAGAGGAGAGAACCAATATTTACCCACCGCACGTGACATGTCGATTGGCTAACCGGTGAACCCATTGACACTGCCGGGCAGACAGGCGGTAAGTGGGTGGGGGAGAACAAATAGAAGCGGTGACCTCTGGATAGCAAGGCCAGCATCCTTGATTAAGGAACGGCAGCAAGTTTATACCAGGAAGGCCCAAGGGCCAAAACACTGCGGCCTTGTGTAGCAGACTTGTGCCAGAAAGTTGTCAGCAAAAGTAAAACTTACTTGACTTGACACTGAGCGACACCGAAAACCTGTCATTTAGTTTTTTTTAATTTGGCGGCTATTCTCGTGATTATTAGCGTTAACGCGTTCACAGTTGACGATCGCATCGCCGCTGCGTACTCACACGATGGCAGAGACTTTCGCTTCGGCCGTCTTGCTGAAGAACAGCATGAGCGCCTCCTTCTCCTGGGTTTTCTGCAAAGGACACGGACCGCACGCGGCCGGGTCGCTCAGAGTGCTCAGCTGGCACCGCTGACCTCCTGCGATTTAACAGGAGTCTCAAGTGTGGTGAGCTGACAGTGTCAGCCCAGTCGGTCATCAACGACTGCGTAAGAAATGTGTATCACGTTACATTTAGTTTTCACTTGATTTGGCTACATTCCAGCTCTGAGAATTAACAATATCAATTGTGACTGTCACGTGACAAAAATTACTCTCCTGTGGTGGGGCAGGTTGGAAAGTGCTGCGCCTTACTGTGTGGACCAGACATCACTGGAAGGTATCTCAGAGGTAACTCTGTGGTCTCTGCTTCTGTGGGCTATTCTTTCACGCTGAGAGTCGCACCGATCTGCAAGAGTTCCGCGACACCAAAGAGGACACAATCTGCGATGACATCGCGGGGAAAAGGTCTCCAAATCGGGGAGAGATCGGCGAGGTGACCTCTCGACCCCAGCGAGTTCGGTAGATCCCCCCGGCAACTCACCGACTGCTTCCCGGCCCTGTCCATGGCCTTGGCGGCAGTGGCCAACGCCGCTTTGGCCTTGGCGTCGATGACGCCGGGGGCCACCACCACCATCTTGCGCTGCTTGGCCGGCAGCTGGCTCAGCACGTCGGCCTTGAGGCGCCGGATCATCACCGTCTCCTCCAGCAGCAGGCGCAGCTCCGCCATGTTCGATGAGCCCGTGTAGTCCCAGCCCCACGGCATCTGAGAATAACGACGTTCAAACACATTCTACTGTGACGCATGCGAGCGTTTTTAATCGCACACCAATTATCGTTTTGGGTCGCAACCAAACGCATCAATTTGGCCGTGTTGGGTGGTGGAGGGTCTTTCGAGGTAAATTTATATCCAGATCGATACGTGGCCTCACCCAAAAATTATTATGAATCATTCGTAATAATGACTGTGAAATCCTACGTGCGAAGTTAATAATACAACAAGCTAGGCATCACACGTATGCTTGAGAACATCTGTTTGTCTTTGGGAGTATTTAACAGTGCGGAAGCCGACGGGGGCATTCGCCGGTGTCCAAAAGGGGTGAATGACTCGCAGCAGCGCGACCGCAGTGCAGGGTCGTTCACACCCCGTCACCTTCACTAGAGACTCGTTCACACCCCGTCACCTTCACTAGACTCGTTCACACCCCGTCACCTTCACTAGAGACTCGTTCACACCCCATCACCTTCACTAGAGACTCGTTCACACCCCGTCACCTTCACTAGAGGCTCGTTCACACCCCGTCACCTTCACTAGAGACTCGTTCACACCCCGTCACCTTCACTAGAGACTCGTTCACACCCCGTCACCTTCACTAGAGACTCGTTCACACCCCGTCACCTTCACTAGAGACTCGTTCGCACCCCGTCACCTTCACTAGAGACTCGTTCACACCCCGTCACCTTCACTAGAGACTCGTTCACACCCCGTCACCTTCACTAGAGACTCGTTCACACCCCGTCACCTTCACTAGAGGCTCGTTCACACCCCGTCACCTTCACTAGAGACTCGTTCACACCCCGTCACCTTCACTAGAGACTCGTTCACACCCCGTCACCTTCACTAGAGACTCGTTCACACCCCGTCACCTTCACTAGAGACTCGTTCACACCCCGTCACCTTCACTAGAGACTCGTTCACACCCCGTCACCTTCACTAGAGACTCGTTCACACCCCGTCACCTTCACTAGAGACTCGTTCACACCCCGTCACCTTCACTAGAGACTCGTTCGCACCCCGTCACCTTCACTAGAGACTCGTTCACACCCCGTCACCTTCACTAGAGACTCGTTCACACCCCGTCACCTTCACTAGAGACTCGTTCACACCCCGTCACCTTCACTAGAGACTCGTTCACATCGCGTCGCCGTCAATGCCCACCGACGACTATCGAAGGACGCGCAGACGGACAGTCGACGCACGAACGCCCTCAACCCGAGTTGGAGAACCGCTCGAGATGGAAGGTGTTTTCGCCGGCAAAAGAAAATCCATTGCGCGTACCAAATGCGATGGCGGTCGCTGTGCCACCCGCGCCCACCTGCTTGGCGTTGCAGTAGCGCAGCGCGAACTCGTGGAATTTTGGGAAGATTTGCGGCTGCACGGCCGCCACCTGCGTGTAGAGCTCGGCGGGGCGCGACATGGCCGGGGTCCCGGACAGCAGCAGCACGCGCCGCGCCTTCTGCGCTCGCGCGCACGCACACGTGCACGCCACGCACAGCAAGACAAATACCCCGTTTCACCACTGGCACATCCGAGCCGGGTCGGCGAGGCGCTCTGACGGCACTGGTGGTTGTTCCACCGGCTATTCGTCGTATCGAGCCGGAACCAAACTGCGATGCGCTACCCTCACGAGAAAAATGTTTAATCTTGCTCAGGGCCGAGCAGGGCCAGGGCTAATGAAGCGTTCACTGCACCCGATGCCAGTCGGGCAGTGCACCGCAATCACGCAGCATCATCACCTCTACACGCGGGATTTTTAATCCATAAAATTTGCAATAGTTTCTGTTTTATCCTGGCCACCCCTGTGCCCCTTAGACTCCAGACAGTGGAGAGGTGACCGTGTTACGCAACGAGAATGGCAGAGGCGCTTTGTGGTTTGTGCTCGGGAGTGTCCGTGGCCGCCGCGGCATGGGGAGAGGAGCCTCACCTTGAGCAGGGGCAAGGCGGCTTTACAGCGGACGGTCTTCACGTTCTTCAGGAAGTGGGACTCGTCCTGGGAGGCGGCAAGAGCGGGGCGCACCAGCCGAGTCGGTTATTCGTCACCGGCAGCAGCAGGTGAGTCGGGTTGAGTGGTGAATGTCCGACAAGGGTCAGGCGTCATCTCAACCTGTCCACACAATGGGCTGCCTGCCGGTCTTGCGACCGATAGTTTAATAGTTTAATGATAAGGCCCACAATCACCGCAGAGTCTACATCGTGTGGGACGACGTCAAGCCGGGACGACCACCGAACCCTGACCGCGAACCGTGAGTAGTCACAGGAATGCAGGGAGAGAAAGACGCCAACCGTATAGCGGATGGAGGATTCGGGCAGCGGTGAGCGACAGACACATCGCCAGGCAGATTCACAGGTCCCCGGCCCGGGGGAGAAAGAGAGGGGGGGGGGGGGGGTACGTGGCGAGGACTCACGGCGATGATGACAGCGAAGCCCTTCTCCTCCAGCTTGCCCTGGATCCTGCTCAGCAGGTCGTAGCTGATGATGTTCACCAGCCCCGAGTTGGGGTTGTCGCGGCCGGTCACCACCACGTTTATCTTTTGGGGGTCTAACCAAGGCAGCCACCGCCGGAACGCCTGCACACGCACGCACGTGAGAGAATAACAAACAACCGCCTCCAGAGTCTCAAGCCACCGGTGAGTAGGAGCTTCGTTGGTCAGAATTTGATCAACGATCAAACACATTGGCCAGGTGTAAATAATACCTTTGTAAACGTGGAAAATATTGTCGGGTGGTGGAGGGTTAATTACAATAATTTCGGAATAAAACTTCCATGTGGCCGAGCCCAAAAACAAATATGGACCACAGGGATCACACATCCCTCGTGTAGGCTCAGATAGACCGTTGGGCTGGTGCTGCTAGCAAGCGCCTATTTAGGGCTGGAATGGCACATTCGGGGGTGGTGTGGCAAGTGCCATGCCAGGCCATCTTTGTATCGCCAATGCTGAAGTTACGTGCTATGCCGGACTGGGGTACTGTACTGGGCAAGGGGGCACTCTTCTGGGGGATGGGGGTGCTTTACAGGGCGTACCTCTGCCCAGGTGAAGCGGACGGAGGAGGGGGCCACCACGAGCAGTGGCCACTCGGCCCGGTAGAAGGCGGCCACGCAGATCGCCTGGATGGTCTTGCCCAGACCCATGTCATCGGCAATCAACACTCGGCCCTCCTGAGCTATAGCGAAGCTGCACACACACACACAGATATTACACACACAGACACACGCACACTTCCGCACTAATGTACACTGACAGATACACAACATGCAGACAATAACAAAAGTTGGCAATCTTCACTAAGTGTCCGTGAAGTCACAACAACCGTTGTGCTATGCGAGGTGCACTTTGAGGCTATCACGTGATGTGTCAACGGGACAGACCCAGGTGTTAAGGATTAACCGAGATAACTGGCAGATGCACCACCTGTGCTAAATACACAGATACACAAACACGCATGCCATGGACATGACGACACTTCCTGTGACATCACATTTGAAAACAAAGAAAAATGGGATCTAATTTTTCCTTTACAGCTTGGATGGATGTTGGATTTTTTTTGGTTTAATCTAAAACCTGGGACCACATCCCTCGCGCAGGGCCTGGGGGGAGGGAGGGAGCTCACTTGACCCCCTCCTGCTGGAAGGGCAGGAGGCTGCCCGTGAGGGTCTCCCCCACCGCGCTGAGGTCGACGTCCCGGAGAGGCTCGCGACTCGCCCGGCTGCGCTCAAACTGCGGCAGGAACGTGCGCACCAGCGCCTCTGGCAGGGGCTCCACCTCCAATCCGGCACAGCGGCACAGCTGCGGCACTGCCGTACGCACGCACATTCATAATGATACAGATCCCCCCCTTCTAGCGTTTAACAATGTCGAGACAAGTGCTGTCAGCGAGCGCCAATTAAGTAAGGCACCACACAGCACACAAGGAGACGGTGTGCCTTGTATCACCACGCCCGGCCCATGTTTGTCATCCCAGTGCCGATGTTTCACACAACGCACCGGGTACTAGGACAGGCCGAGGACTCGCCAACGATTTTAGCCATGGCAGAGAAACAAACTCAGGAAGCTAGGAAGTGCAATAACCACGACACTAGCGCTGCACACACCTGCACACAGCCGTACACACGTGCCCATTAACATTGCCCCGCAGCCTGCATCGAGCTGCTGTGCTTGGTGGTCACGCAGCCAGGCGCTATCCAGGCTCAAGCCAGACTGTCTTCTGAGATCTGACGAGACCGGGTGACTTTGTCAGGGTAGGCCAAGCGAACTGCAATCCGAATGAACCTGTTCTGTGTGCGATGACTCACTCAGCTCGCAGTAGTCCTCCAAAAGGAAGTTCCACTTCCGCGTGACAGCATCTGAACAGTTGCACGAGACAGACAAGTGAAAACACAGACGCAGGAGTCAGGAGTGTTGGAGGTGCAAGCCGCGTGTCACCGGCCAACACCGCAACTATACACAAGCCTCCAGGGCTGCATGGCGTGGAGCATCTGAACTAGCAGTAACCCAGAAAATAATTAGATTTCCAGCCATTCTTCATCTATCACGTGAAATGTTGTTCTGCGCTTTAAAGTGCCTAAATACAAACATCAATATTGACCGCCATGCGACAAAAACTGCACTCAAGTGACAGAGCGAGTGGAAAGTGCCACCCTCCATTGTGTGGAACAGAAATCACTTGAATGGTTCTCAGAGGTAGCTCTGTGATATCCACTTCCAAGGGCTATTCTCTACCACTGCGAAAAAATCTGGATGGATTCTTTGTCACGTGACACGAGACCAATACAATTTTTTAACTACTTTAAATATTTCAACATGCTCCCTCGGCGAAAACACGCCGCACGCCGGCACTCACCGTAGCTGCGCGACTCGATCTGCTTGAAGATGCCGATGGCCTCGGCGTGGTACGTGATGTCCACCTCGAAGCGCGAGCGCCCCACCAGCACGCAGCGCCCGCGCGCCGTCACCGCCATGCTGGGAGGCTTCTTCCAGCTGTGTCCCACGAGCATGATCGTGCTGGCCGTGCGGGGCAACCCAAGGCCCCTGCTGGGCCCACCTCCTCCGCCACCCGTTGGGGTGCCATCCGGCTGCTGCTGGAGCCCTGGGCACTCGTGCCCCTCCAGCGGACAGATCTCCACGCCTGGGATGTGCTGCGCTGCCGACACTGTGCGGTGAACGAGAAATCAATGTCAATTAATTTTATGAATTGAATGAAACTATTAAGAAACAATTCTTTTCTGTAATTAATTACCCAGGCTCCTCTAAAACTGGCGGCCGCCCCTGCACCCTTGCCTCCCGAAAACAGAAAACCCCCTTAAAAGCCACGCCCTGCGTGACGCGGCTGATGATGCCATGATATCACCATGCCTCACCGATAACCTCCCGTCCAGCGGCACACGTGGTAACAGAGGCGAGACGTTTTCGCAAGCCACCGCCATGGCACGCTATTGCGTGATGACCTACCATCAGATGCGTGCAGTGGTATAGTGGCTTTATTTGTATATTATTAGAAGAGATTGGTTATGATGGAAAGACAGCGCATCGCAGAGGACAGGAGCTGAGAAACACTCGTCTGTAGAGCAGAGTGGGAACGGGTCAAGGAAGCGAGCTCAGCGCTTGTGAGTGTCGTGCGGAACGTGAGCGGTCCACACTGACTGAGGCTGTCGTGGTCTTCCAGCAGGAAGCTCCACGTCTTTCCTTCTAGGTCTGCAGAAACACAAGGTCAAAGGTCAGAGTCAAGAACAGTGTTACGATTATTACCAAGCAGAATCTGGATACATTTAACTCAACAGGGCTTACCCCGTGCACACTCACCGTACAGGCGGCTGGGCACTCGCTTAAACAGGGCGATGAGCTCGGACTTGTAGCCGACCTCAATCTTGAAACGATTGTTGGGAAGCTCCAGGCAGCGGCCTCGCACGACGTTGCGGCGCTGCGGTCCGCTGCCGCTGCCGCTGCCACTCCCTCCGCTCCCCAGTGGCTCCGACACCGGGGGAGTTACCGCCGGCGTGCTGGGCACGCGGGGCTCACCGCCGGGGCGCTGCCATGACACGCGCACACAACCTCGTTACGCTCGCCCGCACGCTCGCCAGCCGCATGGGCGTGTACCTTCAATTTGTCAATGCACTGCTGGATGAGGGCTTCCCCACGCCATGTGGGTCATGGGGTTGGTATGAATGCAGTAATGTAAAGATGTAGGAGCATATAAGTACAGTACAACAATGGATTTTGTTGCACTGCCCTCTGCTGTCAGCATTGCTTTGCATGCTATGCAGTGTTTGAACTTTGGAAGTACGATTTTCCGTACGTTTACATTTTTAGGAGTCCCCTCCAAAAATAAACATCGATGTGCGCCACGCAGTTAACTAACGCGCATTGTGTCGCGGTTCCGCTTCCCGACAGCACTCACCGCACTGCTCGCGGAATAAAAGCGTGTCGCTGGCGTGGACGCCGCACCGTTGTCCGCCGGACATTGCAGCGACTTCCTGTCGAGTGGGGGCGGCGGCTGAAACGTTTTCTTCCCGAACGTCGCTTCACCCGGCGCGGTGCTACCAGTGGTAACGGCAGCGGCGGTGCCCATCGGGCTCACGCCGCTCTTCACCGAGTTGATGTTGCTCCAGAGTTTGGCGACGTCGGACGGAGGGAGAAATCCTCCCGTGCCCTGTCCCGGCAGCAGTTGCGGACTGCTCCCTGGTGACTCGTGTGGCCCGCTTTGACCACACCGCTCTGCTACCGAGACCCCCGCTGAATCACCCACTGAGACCCCCACCGAGACTCCCACCGAGACCCCCAAGGAGCCCCCCACCGAGCCCCCCACGTTCAATGGCGGTTGAGCCGGACTCCCGTTCACACCTTGGTTGGCGCGAACCTCCAAAACTGGTCCCGTGGTGCCAACCAGACCCTGGCCTGTTTGGCCTCCCTGGCCAGCCCGTGGACCTCCCGAGGCGGCCTGCGGGGGCCCCAGCCCCGCGACCGCCAGCCTCTCGGCACGCTTGGCCAGCGCCTTCCTCCGGTTCTCCTCCATCCTCCGCTTCTGCTCCTCCGTGATTCTCGTGGGCACCATCGCAAAGCTTCAGCTGCCGCAGGGGATGGACGTTTGCCAGACTGCAAGGGCGACAGGATAAGGGAGTATCAGAACTGGTCGTGCTCTCTGTTTTTAAAGATGAATTATATTATGCAGTGGTAAAATACATCTGGTCGAGGGGACCCATACAAACATTCACGCACATATAACGTATGACGCCATCATCAATCATCCGTAATCAATGCACTGCTGGACGAGGGCGTCCCCAAGTTGCCGCGATAGTTCACGCTCCCACGATACAATAATCTACCCTTGCACACGAACGGATCTCACCGCTCCATCTGATTTTCCATTGTCCATTAGGTATCCAGATGGGGTTAGTGTTATGGTCAATGCAGGTCGGTAAAGGAGAGGGCCCAGGACCAGTTCAGATATATCACTCGTCACTGATGTTCGCAGCTGCCAGGAATTGTAGTGGATGGTTTGGGCCCTATTAAACTGATTTCTGCCTCGTCCTTCCTGGAACAAGTGTGACGGGAACTCGGCTCCACGACTCCGACCCCCAACCACGAGGGGCTGGGCCGCGGGAGCCAGGCAGGCCGGTCTCTGGGGCTTCCTCTTTTCCACACCGCGGGAAAAATGAAGGGTGGACGTGAGCACTTTACCTTGAGTTTGGAATATTTTCCTTATTGAGGGCCGAATAGGACTTAAAATACCTTTATCAGGCCACAAGTTAACATACACATAGCTCGCTCAGTCACCGCATTCTTAAGACACGTCTGTCACTGGCCACTAGCAGAGACAAAAGTGATTGAGCGTGCTCATATTAGCACAGTGTTGCTAGTTCAATGATATACCCCTCTAGGACCCGATTAGCGCGACCAAAATGCTGGCAGTCACCGTTTGGAAGTGGCATGCCGCATGCAGCCACTGCAGGGCCCGTGCACGTGACCACCCCTTTCTTGCGAGTAGGCCCAAAAACGTCGATCGACCAGAAACAAACAGCACGATCAGAGTTGTAATGGATAAGATTGTAACGCCAACATCTGTGACGAATATATTAATCGGGCCTCCCCTAGGTCGAGCTCAAATGAGTACAATAATACGGGGTAAACTGTATGGGTTGACAGGTATGGTACACATCAGCGCTGGAGAGGCAAAGGTGGTCTGGCGTGGTGCTGGCCACCCAACACCCTTGTGTGTGCCGGCCTTGATAGGTGCACGCCAACAGCACTTGTCCAAATTGTATATTAAAGGCAATACGGGGGATCTTTGTCATTTGTGGGCGAGTAGGTGGGCTGTGTTGTGAGTAGGTGAACTTTGTTGTGAGTTGGTGAGTGTGTTGTGAGTTGGTGAGTGTGTTGTGAGTTGGTGAGTGTGTTGTGAGTGTGTTGTGAGTTGGTGAGTGTGTTGTGAGTTGGTGAGTGTGTTGTGTGTTGTGAGTAGGTGAGTGTGTTGTGAGTTGGTGAGTGTGTTGTGATGTGGTGTGTTGTGAGTTGGTGTGTTGCTAAACGGGGTGCAGCACGGGCGAGAGAAGAGATGGAGTTGATGCGATAGGATGTGGAGCTGAGTGGATTTCCCATTGACCGGTAACCCAGCGGTGTCAAGATCGGCGAGGCTCGTGAAGGACGCTGCTGCTGCTGGGCAGTTGGAGGAAGTCGCCCACCAGCAACAGCGGAGGTCAGAGAAGAGAAGCTCACAACAACGGGCGGAACGCCGGGCAGATAAAACACGGCAAGTTGGCACAGTGAGGACCACAGGTGTTGCATCTGCCAGTCGTCTCAGTCAGTCAACCCATGGCACCTGGGTCTGTCCCGTGACCTGCTGCCAGCGGTCGATACTTAACGCGGCCTCAAGGTGCACCTAGCCTGGCACACACGCCGCGGCGGCGTCACCGCCACTCTGTTGCGAACAGCGATTGTTGTTGTTGCGACCTACAGCGTGGTGGTTGAACCCAACAGCGCGGATGAGACCGGACTCTCAGTGAATGGTTACAGCACAGACGATAAACCGAGTCACAAAAGCACGGCTGGGGCACTCAACGAGTGAAGTTCACGAGAAACGGCGACCCCGCAAACCCTGCGACATCACAACACGACGCCACGTTGCGTAAACAGCGCCCCCCGATTCTACTCCTTTTGCCGTCTCGCTCGGCCCGTGTCACTCACCACTGCAGGTGGCCGACCGGGCCCGCGACCTCCCCGCTCCCCTCGGAGCGCCCAGGCCCTCTCGGTCCACGGGCCCCCCCCCCCGGGGTCGCTACCAGAATCAGCAACAGCAGTATGAGAAGCAGCAGTAGGAGAAGCAGCAGCAGTAGCAGCAGGGCGTGATGACAGCCAAATGGGGCTACAGCTGTGACAGCAGAAGCAACTGCAAGCGAAGGCAGCTGCGGTGGAAGAGTGTTAGCAGGTACTCCTGGCGTGTGTGCAGCAGAATAAATATGAGCAGCAGTTGAAGCGGGACGATCTGCAGGAGGTGCAGCGGCAGCTGCAGGAGCCGATTGGGAGCTGGGACCGCGTCTCCCGCGCAATACGGGACTACGGCAGCTCACGATCCCACATCGCGCGCGTGTTTGTTTCGCGTTTCGTAATTGTCATGTCATTCATCCGCGTGGCGTCGCTCTACAGAATCAGAATATTTATTGTGGAGGAATCCGATGAGCTACAAAGCTCTTTCTCGCAGAAGTCCAGTTATGTAGAACTTGTTTTTATTATCGTTCGTAGCCAACCGTGCTAACCGGAGCAGTCTAAACAATGCACCATTATAAGTCACTGTATAATACATATAATGTAACCGTTTTCATTGCGTCAGTGACGACTCACTTTGTGTTTGAATAATACTCCTTTTGGACGAAGTGGTGGCGCAATGTTCGTTCCCATTCCTCGCTACGGGTGACACTCAGGATCTTTGTTTAGACTGCAGGAGGAATCCGATGAGCCATGAAGCTCTTTTTCACAAACGTCCAGGAGGGCCACGGGGTCAGCAAGTTACACCAACAACAATTCCGTACAAAAAAGGAGATGAGTGCAACATAGAGGAAAGCTAAGCAAGTCACGAAAAATAAATATCTGAACGCTGCTGGGCAGCTAACGTTCACCAACCCGCGTGGTGCACTCTGGTCAAGCTACCCGTGACCACGGCGTGGGGAGGCCTTCATCCAGCAGTGGACTGACAGAGGGCCGTGAATTCTGAGCCATCACTTGTGCACAGAATCACACGTTAAGTATACATCATATCAAAACCAATAACGAGATTGTCACGTGACTTCGTTTATTCATGATCATAATGCTTGTGGTCCTGTCTCATTATTCACAACTGCTCGATATGTACAACCAGTGCTGATAAATACATGACAGACTCTTTTCATCAATGTACAGTGTGGCTTTATTTGAAACAATAAACACAAAACAATGCTGTTCGCTCATTCATTTCGGCGCTATGCGATTATATACACTTTTTGTCCTTACACCGTGAAGAATATGGACTTTTCGTGTTTTGCTGATTATGGGATTCATGCCGGAGAGTGGCGGCATAATGGTTAGCACACTTCACGATTAAACAAGTTTCCCCAAGGACCTGTTCAGTTATATCTGAAAAGGTCCTGGACACCCCTCTCACCAGCCCACACTGACCAGCGTGGTGAAGCATAGTCAAACAACCCCCAACACCAACACGGCATGGAGAGGTCTTCATCCAGCAGCGGATTGACATCACTACCTTTTGAGCAGGCATTCAGCCCTCTGTAAATCAACTGCTGGATGAAGGATTTTCCCATTCCGCATCTTCATGAGGATTGTTTTACTATACTGTTGAGTGCGAGTTGGTAAATTACTAATTCAGATATCATTGCCACTGTTGTTAGCCGTGACTGAAATCAACTCAGGTCATCGGGTTCATAGTGCAGCACAAGCGCGCAAGCCACTGTGCCACTACTCCCCAGCTCTTTACTATTTTATCGTAACCCAGAGGATGGCACCGATGGGTCCCCAGCACCCGTGCCCCCTGTCCCTGAGCTTTGGCCTCTCAAGTATTCCTCAGGGCCTCGTGTTTGCCATCGAAGGAGCCGCTCCCAGACAGGCCGATGCTGGGCGGTTGTTCTCCCAGAAGGCCGAGGACACACAGCTCTGCGTGACTCTCCGCGGGCTTCCTGTACCGTGCACAAACAACCACGTGTTTACATCGACACAATACTTTACATAAGGCGAGAACAATTCTGGGAGGCTCAACCGGGACACGTCTACGGTAGTCAAGCCCTCGCAATCACTCCCCCCGCCTGCACAGTGAGCTACAGCACTCGTGTGGTCGTTGGCCTCGCTCACTGCTCATAGGACAAGACGACTCCTCTGCCAACCCTGCCCACTACTGAGGCTAGACCGCACCTCCGACTCGCAAGGTTGGCTACGTACGGTGCGACATACAGACAGATCACCGTTCTTTTGCCCATATCGTGAGTCAAGCGTGTAAGCTAGACATTTTAAACCTGGGACACAATCCCAATTTTCACTTAATATTCAAGACACTAGGTCATCCTTTGTGAAACCGGACGTTTGTTTGCCTAAAAATACACAGAGAGTATTGTATATTCTAGAGTGCTCGTAAAACGACTCCCCCATTCACGAATTCAGGAGACGATTAATGTATTCGTCTGGCCGGCAGGGGGCGAGAGATCTGCCAGTTTCAGCGCGAGATGCAGTTGGAGGGCTGGCAAGTGCGAACCGAACAGGTTGAAGTTGTAAGTAATACACATTCATGTTCCTTGGACTTTATGACTTAAAATATTGTTTTTATCATCCAAGATTATACAATTAGCATTTTATTTATTTTAATAACTTTCACATCTCGTACTATTTATTCCACATGCACCGCAATGGACGAATTAGTTGCTTCACTAATCAAATTGCGACGCCAAATTTCGCTATTTACTAAGTAGCGATTGTCACCACCGGCAAATGCTTGAGGGATTGTCACTGTCTCCATAAGTGCGTGAGAAATATGCCAAATGCGCGCGGCTTAGGCGTTCTGAACTATTCCCCGTAGCTACATAGCCTCAGTTGATGCAGTAGAGCGTAATGGTTTCAACAGTCCGCCAGTGTGAGAGCGAGTGCGTCACCGTGCTGTGAAGGAGACTTGCAGCTGCGTGGAGCCGTGAGGTGCAAGGGTGCCGTTCCCAGGCGAGACCTCAAAAGACCCATTTTCCTCGCCGGACTTGCTCTCTGGCAAACACACAAGCAACACACAAATACACACGTAAACACACACGCGCTGGCACGCCCGCACTCTACTCGCAAGTCGCATTCTTAAATCCTTGAATGTTTATGACACAGGCTATTGGTATGAAACCACAGGCTGCCAACCATCCACCACAGTTGCCATATGAAAACCAGACTTAAGATTGCTTTTGAAATGACTCCAAAAGCCTGACATTAAGGGCGGCGCGACTGCACAGCACAACATGATGCTGTGCGTTTGATTATTCACTTGACACGTTTTGCTATCGCGCAGCTGGGACGCTGCATCTTGTTTATGGCGGTGGTGATTTTGGCAGCAGAGTCGCACGTAACTCGCCAAACAAGTCGCTCCGGTCGCGAACGGTGACTTACGGACGTGGGCAGACCAGTGGCCGCGTGCCGCGCCACGGTTGACGATGGTGGCAAGGCGGGCGCGCCGTTGGCCGACGAGACACGGCCCAAAGTGAAGGGCTCCTTCTGGCACGCGCAGCTCCAGGCACGGCATGTAGACAAACGCTTCCAGAGGAACGCTCTGCGGGGAGGAGAGGGGCCTTACGTGTATTAAACGGGGGCGACGAACCCACGGCACACGGGACGTCTCTGGCCTGTGACATCATTTGACAGTTCATGTTTAAAGTTTATTTTGTTTAACCAGGTGAGAACTCAAGAGACCAGAACACCCTCATTTGCAAGAGTGACAATAATGTGGCATTAGTCTGCCAGTTGGGGGCAACGGATGGTATGTATAATCCCAGATGATTAAATTGAAGGTAATTTATGAATGCAGTACATTTGGACCCTGATGGCGGCAAAATAATGGCCTACTCTTGCTAATGATGTCAGGTGATCTTTAACGTTGATGGCGCGTGGTATTATTACTATGGTTATTACAACCCGCAGCATTATTTAGGGCAGCTGCCGGATTTTAACCGTTTCAACAAGCGGCGAATGTGTGGCTGCTAGGCCATGCCACCTCCCATATTATTTGTATAGAAAACACAAAGAAACATTGCCCCTTACTGAGAAACCTAGCAGATGATTGAGATTCAGTGAGGGTTTCTTGGTTTGTAAATGTAAATAAATGTTACTTATATAGCCCGTGATCACAAGAGGCCTACTACTTTAAAACAGCCTGAAGCAATATGTATCCGTATCTGGAAGCATCTTAGCCACATAATCGGGCACACAGCTGTTTTTCTCATTCTCTGTCGCTGCAAGGGACTCTTACAGTGGTGTGTGGTGAAGCAATACGTGGGTACGCCCACGTCTTCCAACACGTCTGGTAAACACGGAAGAGTAGACCAAATACCCTCCAGAGTTCGCTCTTGTAAAACGTCCTTCCACCATCAGCGACGTGAGCAAGCAATTACAGGGCCACACCTTTACCGCTGTTTTGTGCGCGAGCTCGCAGTGATAAAACGATCCCTCGCTCGTCTTTCGGGTATATACAACCAACCAAAGGTTCGTTTTCTCACCGCCGGCTGCCCATGCTTCCCGGACAGACAGACCTGTTGGGTGCGGTTGCTGTAGTGGACAGTGAGCTGTCCTTGCACGCGTAGCGTGAGCTCTCCACCCCGCCTCTCCTCCAGCAGCTCGGGCGACAGCTGGAACCCCACCTCCACCTGTAGCGGCACGCACAACACCCTGAGCGCACGCCTGCCAAGCAGGGCCGGTGCAAGGGGGTGCCGGGGCAGACCCCGCACCACCAAATGTACCTATGGCCCCCCACCCACATTCACTCTGCTTAGCGCTGAATCGCTATCATGGTGGCCCCCCACGCTACGGCGCTACAGCGCCCCTCTCCATCCGAGAGGAGCTGGAGCCGGGCCTGCTGTCAAGTGGTCAGAAATTAATCTTGGCTTATTAACCAGGGTTGCCAACTCTAAGGCACAAAAAATAGGACAGTAGAATGTATCTCGTGATCTATATCATGATACATTCTACTTCTCTTATCTCATCATACCAGAAGATGCGCTGTCTTGAATCAGTAGTGTATTATTACGCAACTGGCAAAATCCGAGACAGGAAAGAGGTTGTACTCGGAAAACAAAGACAGGCAGCAACTCCAATATTAAGCTACACTCCCTTCTGATGACGAACTTATATGCAGCAGATTTTCCAAATTTCCCACACACAGAGGTTATACGTTGTCCGCTACTTTTCCAGTCCTCTCCCACCCAATCTACAGCCAAGTGTCTCGCCGTCTAGTATAGATTCCCTCTCAGTGGCGTCGAGATCGATTGTGCAGGTGGTGCAGCTGCACTGGGGCCCACAGGCCGGAGGGACCCACAGGCCGGAGGGGCCCAAGGCCGGAGGGGCCCACAGGCCGGAGGGGC